AAACCAAAATTATTCCTAAATTTCCCGGTTCCACTCTTTAAATCGTTACTGGATCTGAGTTTGAGTCCGTTATAAGTTTTCTCCTCTTCAGGTTTTGTGCCTTTATGGGACTCTCTCTTCCTCTGACACCTGGTGCAGCTGCTGAGGAGCTGGTGCCTCTGCTCCTGCGTATGTGCACCCGGGTGTCCAGCGGTAGACCGTGTTCAGACCGGAGTCCATGCACACACACGGAGGCTTGTGTGGCCCCATCACGCTGGAGCTTAGAGCTGCTAGAGGCTCCTCTCTCACCTGGTTTCCTTCAGGATTCTGCCTCCAACTCCCTCTTTCACAAGCCTGAACTCTTCACCACAGATCTTCTCAAAGTCACTCCACTTGCTGACCTTGAATTGTTCTCAGTCCTAATACTGATCCACTCAAACACTCAGAATTTCTCTCTGATGCACAAACAGACTCTGCCCTTTGACCTTCCGAACGTCTTCTTCAATCAGCGCCATGGCGCCGGCAGCGGGGCGCTCGGAGAGCGGTTTTAACCGGTGTTTGGTCTGACAGAGTTCAGCTTTTATGCCGCGTGGTGTGGCTCAGCTGTCCTGTTGTGTTCTGTTAACAGTGATGCCCACCATTGAGAAGCTGCTGAATGCCGACTGGAAGGAGAAACTTCTGGATAAAAGCGCAGAGGGAGCAGGACAACTTAAAGGTCAGCTGTGAGACGTTAGCAACAGCAGGGCTAGAGCTGCTTTTTCATTGCCTTTCACATCTGTAAGCTACTAGCAGAGTTTCTCACAAGCCAGTATAACAAGGCACATCTGCAGAAGTGAGAGTGTGATAAGTCGGTCTGTGAACAGGACGTGGGCTCCATGAAGCTGCAGAACACCGGTAACCTCTACAGCACGGGCCGGGTCCTGGTCTAAAGGGTTTTGAGCTCAGCACATAGATAAAGTAAAACATTGACTTACTGATTAAAAGCAGGATCAGTCTGACTCGTCATGAAGACGTGAAAAAGTAAAATATTAGCTCTGCCTCAACAAAAGCTGGCGTGCTGGCAGGAGCCTCGGGAGAAGCAGGACCAACATCTGGCTAGAACTGGACAACATTTATAAAAAATGACAAAACAAACCAAATCAACATTTTCAAAACCTGGACAAACTACATTTATTTATTTATATGTTCTTGAAATCGAGGATAATTGTGAATAGTTCTCCTTATCCTGGAGACAGCAGCCGCTCAGGAGGCAGAGCGGGTAGTCCAAAGGTTCGATCCCGACTCTGATCAGAGATGCTGCTGTTGTGTCCTTGGGCAAGACACATAACCCACCTTGCCTGCTGGTGGTCGGAGGGACCGGTGGTGCCAGTGCTCGGCAGCCTCGCCTCTGTCGGGGCAGCTGTGGCTACGATGTAGCTCATCCCCACCAGCGTGTGAATGATTGTTTAGTGAAGTGCCTCGGGTGTGCCGTAACACACACTGCTCACAAGAGTTAGAGGAACACTTTTATTGGGCCTGGCATGAAATCAGTTAAACCTGTCTGATAATTTCCTGGTTGATTAAGCAGCCGAGGACATTGTTAATCACTTTCAGCTCTATCGGTGTTCATGGACGTAACGACAGGTGCACTAAAGTGGCAACAATTACAAAACCCTCAAAACAGGACTGGTTCAACATGGAGAGGTCAAGTTTCTCCCTCTTGATCTTTGTCGGCTGGTTTTCCACTCGTGCTGGTTTTGGCTCCCTACTGGCGGTATGAGGAGATTCCTTAACCCTACAGAAGTTGCACAGGTTGTCCAACATCCACACGTGCTGCAGCAAGAAGGTTTACTGTGTCTCCCAACACAATCTCCAGAACATGGAGGAGATTTCAGGAGACTGGCGGTTATTCTCGGAGAGCTGGACAGCGCCGTAGAAGGTCCACAACCCATCAGCAGGACCGATACCTGCTCCTTTGTGCAAGGCGGAACAGGCTGAGCACTGCTCGTGCCCTACAGAATGACTGACCTCCAGAGGGCCACTGGTGTGAACGTCTCTACCCAGACAATCAGGAACAGACTTCATGAAGATGGTTGAGGGCCCGACGTCCTGTAGTGGGCCCTGTGCTCACTGCCCAGAACCGTAGAGCTCGACTGGCATTTGCTCAAGAACACCAGAATTGGCAAGTCCGCCACTGGCGCCCGGTACTTTTTACAGACAAGAGCAGGTTCACCCTGAGCACCGTGATAGACGTGAAAGAGTCTGGAGAAGACAAGGAGAACGTTTTGCTGCCTGCAACGTCGTTCAACATGTCAGGTTTGGTGGTGGGTCAGTGATGGTCTGGGGAGGCGTATCCATGGAGGGACGCACAGACCTCTACTGCCTAGGAAATGGTGCTCTGACTGCCATAAGGTATGGAGATGAACCCTTTGTCAGACCCTACGCTGATGCAGCAGGTCCTGGTTTTCTCCTAATGCACGACGATGCCCGGCCTCATGTGGCAAGAGTATGCAGGCAGCACCTGGAGGATGAAGGAACTGAAACAGTTGAATGGCCTTCACAATCCCCTGACTTAAACCCAATAGAACATCTGTGGGACGTTATGTTCCGGTCCATTAGGCGGCGCCAGGTTGCTCCTCAGACTGTACAAGAGCTCAGGGATGCCCTCACACAGATCTGGGAGGAAATGCCACGAGACACCATCCGTCGTCTCATTAGGAGCCCCGACGTTGTCAAGCATGCACACAAGCTCGCGGGGCCACACAAGATACTGAAAAGCAATCTGAGTTGCAGAAATTAAGTTTTTGAAATAATGGACTAGCCTGCCACGTCTTCATTTCACTCCGATTTTAGGGTGTCTACACAACTGAGCCCTCTGTAGGCTGATAACTTTTATTTCCATTAAAAGACTCGGCATCCTTTGGTTCCTAAGACATTGCCCTGTCCTTATTTGTATAGATATCCAACTTCATATTGAGATCTGGTGTATCTAATGAGCTTCTTTAAAGTGTTCCTTTCATTTTTGTGAGCGGTGTATTTAGCCAGCTGAAGAAGTCTTCATTTTTTATATCCTAGTTTTATTGATAATTTTTTACCACATATTTTGAATTTGGACTTTTCCAGTCAGCATTTCAGAGGCATTGCTCTGGATGGAACACAGAAGTCCCAATGATCTACTCGGCTCACCTCACATGGACTCACATGAGCTTCCGCTGGCTAAATGAACAGAAGACAAAAATAAAGATGAGTCCTGATATGTTAAGCCCAATCACACTGGCAAGTGTAGCTGAAAAAGAAGGACATGAATGTGGTTAAACTGCTGAAGCCGGGAATCCAACCAGCATGAGGTCATAGCGAAACAGCATGCAACGCAAACTCTATCCACCAAAGCAACAGCCGCCCACTCCAGGGCAGGCCAAGCTCGGAACTCAGCGGCCCGGGACCCAAGGGCGCCTGACCCGGGCAGAGACCCGACAGTGTCCAGGGATCTGGACCCCACCACCAGGAGCGAGCCAGCAGGTACCAAAAACTTCAAGTAGCAGACACGGGAGCTGCGCATACACAGGCTGACTGAGGCACCACCCATCTGCAGGAAATGTGGCAGGGGGAGGGAGGGGGAGGAGACAAGACTCCACCTGACGGATAAAGTCCGTCCCCCCCACCCTCATGCTCACACATGTACACATTCAACCTAAAGACACACAATAATGCAAGTCATGCACCCTCTGATGTACACACCCTAGACACTCTGGTCCTGGTACTGCTGCACAAAGGGCACAACCCATCCTGGACACCAGAGCTGGTCCCGTTCTTGCTGGGCTAATTATGAGCAGGCAACTCTGCCCAACAGCGCCCCCCTCCAGGTGCCGTCGAGTGTGCTTTTGCATGGAATGTCGTTGGTGGAAGTGTTTAATGTGCAAGTTAAAACTGGGGCACAGGCCCTCACGGGACCTCGAAGATGGGAACCATACCCCCTGAACGTACCCACACCCCAAGGCCCTATGTGCATGTTTGTGTGGCGATGTGAAGGAACAAGTGGAGGAAAAGAATGGCCCCCAGTCTAAGCCATCTTCTGGCCCGCGGACCTTGTGTCTGACGTGTTTTACACCATTAAGGATCTTTTTAATCAGACAAAGTGATTTTCTGTTTTTTACATGCTTCCCCTCACATTTACAGTGTACCTATCACTTCAGACCTCGTCTTTTTAAGTGAGAAGTCTTACACAGCCGCTGGCTGCCAGAGTCCCGATGCAAACAACCCAATGAAAAAAGTTCTGATGGCTTTTTTGACCGATAACCTCTGACCCCTGCAGGGACCCCTGACTCTCTGGCTGAAAAGGAGCTTCAGTTGTTGATGATGATAAACCAGCTGAGTGGTCTGAGGGAGCAGCTGCTAGGCGCCCACTCAGAGCAGAGGAACATGGCCGCCCTGCTGCTGGAGAAGCAACAACAGCAGATGGAGCTGGCCCGGCAGCAGCAGGAACAGGTATCAGACACCTAAAAGCGCAGGTGGAGCTGCACTCAGTATCTGTATCTGAGTATACGCTCGGTATCTGTATCCGAGTATGCGCTCAGTATCTGTATCCGAGTATGCGCTCAGTATCTGTATCCGAGTATGCGCTCAGTATCTGTATCTGAGTATACGCTCAGTATCTGTATCCGAGTATGCGCTCAGTATCTGTATCCGAGTATGCGCTCAGTATCTGTATCCGAGTATGCGCTCAGTATCTGTATCCGAGTATGCGCTCAGTATCTGTATCCGAGTATGCGCTCAGTATCAGTATCCGAGTATGCGCTCAGTATCTGTATCCGAGTATACGCTCAGTATCAGTATCCGAGTATGCGCTCAGTATCTGTATCCGAGTATGCGCTCAGTATCTGTATCCGAGTATGCGCTCGGTATCTGTATCCGAGTATGCGCTCAGTGTCTGTATCCGAGTATGCGCTCAGTATCTGTATCCGAGTATGCGCTCAGTATCTGTATCCGAGTATGCGCTCAGTATCTGTATCCGAGTATGAGCTCAGTACCTGTATCCGAGTATGCGCTCGGTATCTGTATCCGAGTATGCGCTCAGTATCTATATCCGAGTATGAGCTCAGTATCTGTATCCGAGTATGCGCTCAGTATCTGTATCCGAGTATGCGCTCAGTATCTGTATCCGAGTATGCGCTCAGTATCTGTATCCGAGTATGCGCTCAGTATCTGTATCCGAGTATACGCTCAGTATCTGTATCCGAGTATGCGCTCAGTATCTGTATCCGAGTATGCGCTCAGTATCTGTATCCGAGTATGCGCTCAGTATCTGTATCCGAGTATGCGCTCAGTATCTGTATCCGAGTATGCGCTCAGTATCTGTATCCGAGTATGCGCTCAGTATCTGTATCCGAGTATGCGCTCGGTATCTGTATCCGAGTATGCGCTCGGTATCAGTATCCGAGTATGCGCTCGGTATCTGTATCCGAGTATGCGCTCGGTATCTGTATCCGAGTATGCGCTCAGTATCTGTATCCGAGTATACGCTCAGTATCTGTATCCGAGTATGCGCTCAGTATCTGTATCCGAGTATGCGCTCAGTATCTGTATCCGAGTATACGCTCAGTATCTGTATCCAAGTATGCGCTCAGTATCTGTATCCGAGTATGCGCTCAGTATCTGTATCCGAGTATGCGCTCAGTATCTGTATCCGAGTATGCGCTCAGTATCTGTATCCGAGTATGCGCTCAGTATCTGTATCCGAGTATGCGCTCAGTATCTGTATCCGAGTATGCGCTCAGTATCTGTATCCGAGTATGCGCTCAGTATCTGTATCCGAGTATGCGCTCAGTATCTGTATCCGAGTATGCGCTCAGTATCTGTATCCGAGTATGCGCTCAGTATCTGTATCCGAGTATACGCTCAGTATCTGTATCCGAGTATGAGCTCGGTATCTGTATCCGAGTATGCGCTCAGTATCAGTATCCGAGTATGCGCTCGGTATCTGTATCCGAGTATGCGCTCGGTATCTGTATCCGAGTATGCGCTCAGTATCTGTATCCGAGTATGCGCTCAGTATCTGTATCCGAGTATGCGCTCAGTATCTGTATCCGAGTATACGCTCAGTATCTGTATCCGAGTTTGAGCTCAGTATCTGTATCCGAGTATGCGCTCAGTATCTGTATCCGAGTATGCGCTCAGTATCTGTATCCGAGTATGCGCTCAGTATCTGTATCCGAGTATGCGCTCAGTATCTGTATCCGAGTATGCGCTCGGTATCTGTATCCGAGTATGCGCTCAGTATCTGTATCCGAGTATGCGCTCGGTATCTGTATCCGAGTATGCGCTCAGTATCTGTATCCGAGTATGCGCTCAGTATCTGTATCCGAGTATGCGCTCAGTATCTGTATCCGAGTATACGCTCAGTATCTGTATCCGAGTATGAGCTCAGTATCTGTATCCGAGTATGCGCTCAGTATCTGTATCCGAGTATACGCTCAGTATCTGTATCCGAGTATGCGCTCAGTATCTGTATCCGAGTATGCGCTCAGTATCTGTATCCGAGTATACGCTCAGTATCTGTATCCGAGTATGCGCTCGGTATCTGTATCCGAGTATGCGCTCGGTATCTGTATCCGAGTATGCGCTCAGTATCTGTATCCGAGTATGCGCTCAGTATCTGTATCCGAGTATGCGCTCAGTATCTGTATCCGAGTATACGCTCAGTATCTGTATCCGAGTATGAGCTCAGTATCTGTATCCGAGTATGCGCTCAGTATCAGTATCCGAGTATGCGCTCAGTATCTGTATCCGAGTATGCGCTCGGTATCTGTATCCGAGTATGCGCTCGGTATCTGTATCCGAGTATGCGCTCAGTATCTGTATCCGAGTATGCGCTCAGTATCAGTATCCGAGTATGCGCTCAGTATCTGTATCCGAGTATGCGCTCAGTATCTGTATCCGAGTATGCGCTCAGTATCTGTATCCGAGTATGCGCTCAGTATCTGTATCCGAGTATGCGCTCAGTGTTACGACGAACGCCCCTGATTCATTAGCCTGTTTCTGCTTGTTCGAACAGTCCACTCTGGGCTCTCTTGTTCCCCGTCCAGCTGGTTGCAGCTAACGAACATACCTTGTGTCTCAGATTGCCAAGCAGCAGCAGCAGCTGATCCAGCAGCAGCACAAGATCAACCTGCTTCAGCAGCAGATCCAGGTCAGTGTCTCTTTCCCGTCTGTTTCCAGACTTCCCAATGGCCCTGACTCCAGATGAGCAGTGAAGTGCTGGAGAAACTTAGATTAAATGTGCTCGTTGCCCTGCTCTGCCCCAGCAGGTGAACATACCCTATGTGATGATCCCAGCCTTCCACCCAAACAGCCAGCCCCTCCCCGACCCCCCGATGACATTACCGCTACAGCCCATCCCCTGCAAGCCAAGTGAGTGGGGCACTTTCATTTGTTCGAATGTTAACTTTGTTTTTAAATGTCAGTTTATGGTGGCGCTTCAAAGTGTAGCGCACACACACACACACACACACACACACACACACACACACACACACACACACACACACACACACACACACACACACACACACACACACACACACACACCAGGGTATCCATGGGTCCTTAAAAAGTCTTAAAAAGTCTTAAATTAGCTTTTCCAAATTTAAGGCCTTAAAAATCCTTAAAAATGACAAATAATCCTTAAATCCAGTTTCCAAAGGTCTTAAATTACCAAAGACCCAATAAACAAGATTCTTTTATTTCTATAAAAATTTCGTGAATTTCTAGTTAGTGTTCAGTGTTTTTTGTGTGTGATGTTGGCGTAAGCGGAACCGTACACATGCAGCTGGTTGTGAAAGGGGACTATTTTTAGATGAGCGCATTAGCTGGTTAAGCTAGTGGGAGCTTGCGCCATGGGGAAGTGCAAGTTTAATGGTAACAGGATAGCTAATTCCACGTTGGCGACGTGGTTAGCACCGGTTCCAGGCAATAGCTGGAAATTATAGCTTAAATTTAATTTTGAAAATAGCTTAAATTTGGTCAAAGTGGCCTTAAAAAGGTCTTAAAAAGTCTTAAATTCGGCTCCCTTAAACCTGCACACACACACACACACACACACACACACACACACACACACACACACACACACACACACACACACACACACACACACACACATTACTTAGGGGGGAAGCTGGGATTGAACCATCAACCTTCTGAGCAGTAGACAACCACCGGGCACACTGACAGGCCACCTTGCTCAAGAGCCGTGTTTTGGTTGTTACCCTGAGCTCAGGACCAATAGTGGCAGGTGGACCTTCACGGTGAACCCGCATCTGTGGGCCATGAACCCAACCCGTCAAAAAGCCAGAACATTCAGATATTTTGGACCTGAGTGTTTCCTTTATCACGTTGTTTATGACATATTTTTGCATCACATTTGACACATCAGGTGTCTTTGGCAGCTTTTTGTTAACAACAATTTTCACTTTAGACAAATCATTTAGAAAACGATGGAACGTGTTTTAAAGGTTTTCCTCGTTACTCTTTTTTCACATAACACGTACAACCAGCCACCTAGCAGCTGGACTTGAACGCTCCACAAAAAAGAAATAAAAATAATCTACACACTGCTTTTATTCATCCAGTCAACATCTGAACATGAAATTGAACAATATTTCAGTGTTATTTTCATACATCCCTACTTAAATTCATGTAATATCAGTAAATATCAGTTATCAGATGTAACGTATTTTCCGGAGTATGTCGCACCAGCCATCAAATATATAATGAAGAAGAAAAAAACATATAAGTTGCATTTTGGGGGGAAATTTGATTATTTTTCTTACAAAATCTGAGACCAAGCGTTTCACATTGCGAGACAAGTACCGGTAGCAATAACAGAATAAACAACGCGGCGCAGCAGCGCGCCACGGTCTCCAGCAGAGGATGGCGGTGTTTCAGACCCTCCCAGCGGGACAGGGGAGCTGACACCTGGTTCTGAGCCGGCCCGCAGCAGCACGGTTTACATAATTTGGTATATGCTGTAAGTCACTTTGGTATATAAGTCACAGGACCAGCCAGACTATGAAAAAAAGTGTGACTTATAGTCCAGGAAATACGGTAGCTGCAAAAGGAATATGGGATGTTGACATTGGCCTACATTTTCACCTCCTCTAGTCTTTTTCCCATCTAAAACTAGATACATATGTAAATATAGCATGGACATTATTATTTCCACTATTCTATTGTGGAAATACTCAAAATGTATTTGAAGATGGCATTGAAGGGGCACAGCAGTAGAAACACAGAGGGACCGCACTGATAGTAACGTTACTGAGGTACACTGTGGGAAAAGTGTGGCTGTTTAACATCCTCATTAGAAAAAGTACACCCACATCCCCCACGGGTGCCACGCCCCACTAACAGACCACTGCACAAGAGAAAACCACCTAACGGACCGGGACGGTACACGGGTCCTAACCACAGAAACACAAATATGAAAGATGGATCAAAGCAGCGATAGAGGTAAGGAGATAAGGACCATGAACAGAGACGATTGAGTAATCACATGGATCACGCATGGGACTGTGTCATCAGCAGGAAGGAGGTGGCAGTAGAGGGCGACGCTGTCCTCTGCTGCCGTGGATAAAAGGACGATCGACACCGTCACCGGCGAGCTCTGATGACGGTGTCTGCCCTCCACGGTCGTCTCTGGTGATCCGAGGAGCTCCAGCTCTGACAGAGAGAAGCATCTCTCTAGTGTATCATCTTAGCTGGCTCTGTTAACAAAAGTGTTTACTTTCATTGTCAACATCGTTGCTGGCCAGAGCTTGGCAGTGACTCCCCATGTGACGGTGACACCCCCCTTTCTTGCATCAAGGTGCAACACAGTCCAACGCTGCTGCAGTATTTCTACCAAGCTTGGCGGAACGAAAATTCCCACTTCGCCATGCCACCACGGCGCTTTCGGTTTTGCGGCAGTGTTACGCCGATACGCTGCTGGCATGGTGTGTCTGCTGTGGGACCAAAGACTGAACATGTCTCTTTGTTTGTACAGCCACTGACTACCCCATGCAGCTGCTCCCAAACACCCACCCCACGCCCATCAAGAGGAGCAGTAGTTCCTTCCGGCAGGTACATCATTGTAATGTTTACATTGTGATTCAGCTCTTTGTCTGTTGGCGCACACGGCAGAGAGCGAGAGTAAGGTATCCTGAGTGAGGGTGTGTGTGTCTTCTGTGCAGTGTGTGTTGGTACTGATTGAATACATGTCTTGTGGTCTGAAGGATGTTGAAGAAAGTGAATCTCTTGGGATTGAACCAAGTGGGTTTTTTTCTGGGAATTTGGGAGGCTGAAAAGCTTTAGGAGCACACCACACCCTCTGTTCAAAGCTTTAGCGTGTGTGTGCTGCATGAGTCGCTTGCACGATAGGTTCTCAGGAACAGATAGACCAACATGACTTGAGTAAACAATAGCAACAGGAGGACGAGGAGCCTAAAGTGCTCTGAAGGTGTGACAGATGCGTTCTAACACGTTAGATCGTACTGTGAACATCCAGAATGCATCACACCCTCGACCTTCGTCTTTATAACTGAGTTTGAGTCAGAGTCCCACCCTGCTCATATGCTTTGTCTGTGTGTTCAGGAGGCTAGTCAGCCCTTAAACCTGACCTCTAAGCACAAAGGCCTGGATCTGGGGAAAACGTCAAGTCCACAGAGCCTGGATCTGGGATCTCTGGCACTGCAGGGGGCCTACAGATCCCGAGATCTCCAAAGAGAGGTGTCCCACAGTCCGACGCGATCTGCACTCAGTGAGTAACTTATTAACATACGAGAGCTGGGAGGTCATGTAGGGAGCTGCCATGAGGGTGACACTCCTATTGGACTAAAATCTCATTGGCAAATTAAAATACTCTATCAAATTACATCCAAGTAAAAGCAAAGCCGAGCCCAGACTGGTGACTGAAGCACTGAACAGAGGATAACATAGTTCTGAAGTTCCTACTTGATTTTTTACTGAACTACAAGTAAAAAAGTACTTGCCTAAATTTTTACTCAAGTAAAAAGTATCGTGAATAAAATGTACTCAAAGCAAAAGTTTGTTACACTTTTGTCAGCGTAAGGATGGCTACATCTAAGTAGTGCTAAATCACAATGCCAGCTCACAACACACACACACACACACACACACACACACACACACACACACACACACACACACAGCTGAACTAGCTCCAGTATGAAGGTGTTCTAACGTTGTTGTTGCTGGCTGTGAAGGTGGCCTGTACATCTGAGATGCTCTTTCTTTTTTCTGAGCAATCCTAACTTTGTTCTGTTTTCTTCCTGGTTGTTACCTTTGTGCTATGCTCTTGTTTCAGGTTTCCTAGGAGACGGCGATGTGGTCACCCAGGCCATTCACGATGCCCAGCAGCTCCTGAGGACTCACAGCAGTGGAGGCAGAGACAGGGAGAGGGACAGTGGGGGGAAAATGGTGAGCTAGAAGTGATAAAAGTGCTGCCTTGTCTGCGCCCTTAACCTAGCTGTAGGTCCGACATCAATTTACTCAGTCGGTGAGGAGCAAAAACAAGCAAGCAGACCAGAAAGCAACTCGATCATTTATGTGTTTGTATTTCTTGGGCTAGGGCTCATCATCATAAAACTATCTGCTATTTTGTACGTGTGGAGTTGGCGTGTTTCACCCACCCGCATGTGGAGTTGGTGTGTTTCACCCACCCACGTGTGGAGTTGGTGTGTTTCACCCACCCATGTGTGGAGTTGGCGTGTTTCACCCATCCATGTGTGGAGTTCACGTATTTCACCCATCCATGTGTGGAGTTGGCGTGTTTCACCCATCCATGTGTGGAGTTCACGTATTTCACCCACCTGTGTGTGGAGTTAGCGTGTTTCACCCACCCACGTGTGGAGTTGGTGTGTTTCACCCACCCACGTGTGGAGTTCACGTATTTCACCCATCCATGTGTGGAGTTGGCGTGTTTCACCCATCCATGTGTGGAGTTCACGTATTTCACCCACCTGTGTGTGGAGTTAGCGTGTTTCACCCACCCACGTGTGGAGTTGGTGTGTTTCACCCACCCACGTGTGGAGTTCACGTATTTCACCCATCCATGTGTGGAGTTCACGTATTTCACCCACCCACGTGTGGAGTTGGCGTGTTTCACCCACCCACGTGTGGAGTTGGTGTGTTTCACCCACCCACGTGTGGAGTTGGCGTGTTTCACCCACCCACGTGTGGAGTTGGCATGTTTCACCCACCCACGTGTGGAGTTGGCGTGTTTCACCCACCCACGTGTGGAGTTGGCGTGTTTCACCCATCCATGTGTGGAGTTGGCGTGTTCTCTCCACGTGTGGAGTTGGCGTGTTTCACCCATCCATGTGTGGAGTTCACGTATTTCACCCACCCACGTGTGGAGTTGGCGTGTTTCACCCACCCACGTGTGGAGTTGGCGTGTTTCACCCACCCACGTGTGGAGTTGGCGTGTTTCACCCATCCATGTGTGGAGTTGGCGTGTTCTCTCCACGTGTGGAGTTGGCGTGTTTCTCTCCACGTGTGGAGTTGGCGTGTTTCACCCATCCACGTGTGGAGTTTGCATGCTCTCTCCACGCATAGAGTTGGCGTGTTTCACCCACCTGCGTGTGGAGTTGGCATGGTTCACCCATCCATGTGTGGAGTTGGCATGTTTCAGCCACCCACGTGTGTAGTTGGCGTTTTTCACCCACCTGCGTGTGGAGTTGGCATGCTTCAGGCATCTATGTGTGGAGTTGGCATGGTTCACCCATCCATGTGTGGAGTTGGCATGTTTCAGCCACCCACGTGTGTAGTTGGCGTTTTTCACCCACCTGCATGTGGAGTTGGCATGTTTCACCCACCCATGTGTGGAGTTGGCGTGTTTCACCCATCCACGTGTGGAGCTGGCGTGTTCTCTCCACATGTGGAGTTGGCATGTTTCACCCACCCACGGGTGGTGTTGGCCTGTTCTCTCCATGAGTGGGGTTGGCGTTTTTCACCCACCTGCATGTGGAGTTGGCGTGTTTCACCCATCCATGTGTGGAGTTGGCGTTTTTCACCCACCCACGTGTGGAGTTGGCATGTTTCATCCATCCGAGTGGGGAATTGGTGTGTTCTCTCTATGAGTGGAGTTGGCGTTTTTCATCCACCCACTTGTGGAGTTGGTGTGTTTCACCCACCCACGTGTGGAGTTGGCATGTTTCATCCACCCACGTGTGGAATTGGCGTTTTTCACCCACCCACGTGTGGAGTTGGCGTTTTTCACCCACCCACGTGTGGAGTTGGCATGTTTCATCCATCCGAGTGGGGAATTGGTGTGTTCTCTCTATGAGTGGAGTTGGCGTTTTTCATCCACCCACTTGTGGAGTTGGTGTGTTTCACACACCCACGTGTGGAGTTGGCATGTTTCATCCACCCACGTGTGGAATTGGTGTTTTTCACCCACCCACGTGTGGAGTTGGCGTTTTTCACCCACCTGCGTGTGGAGTTGGCGTGTTTCACCCATCCATGTGTGGAGTTGGCATGTTTCATCCACCTGCGTGGGGAAATTGCGTGTTCTCTCCACGTGTGGAGTTGGAGTGTTTCATCCACCCACGTGTGAAGTTGGCATGTTTCACCCATTCACGTTTGGAGTTGACGTGTTCTCTCCACGCGTGGAGTTGGTGTGTTTCACCCACCCACGTGTGGAGTTGGTGTGTTCTCTCCATGTGTGGAGTTGGCATGTTTCACCCACGCGTGGAGTTGGTGCGTTTCACCCACCTGCGTGTTGAGTTGGCGTGTTTCACCCACCCGCATGTGGAGTTGGTGTGTTTCGTCCACCTGCGTGTGGAGTTGGCGTGTTCTCTCCGAGTGTGGAGTTAGCGTGTTTCACCCACCCACGTGTGGAGTTGGCGTGTTCTCTCCGCATGTAGAGTTGGCATGTTTCACCCACCCACGTGTGGAGCTGGTGTGTTTCACCCACTCACGTGTGGAGTTGGCATGTTTCACCCACTCACGTGTGGAGTTGGCATGTTTCACCCACTCACGTGTGGAGATGGCATGTTTCACCCACTCATGTGTGGAGTTGGCATGTTTCACCCACCCACGTGTGGAGTTGGCGTGTTCTCTCCACATGTAGAGTTGGCATGTTTCACTCATCCGCATGTGGAGTTGGTGTGTTTCACCCACCCACGTGTGGAGCTGGCGTGTTTCACCCACTCACGTGTGGAGATGGCATGTTTCACCCACTCACGTGTGGAGATGGCATGTTTCACCCACTCATGTGTGGAGTTGGCATGTTTCACCCACCCACGTGTGGAGTTGGCGTGTTCTCTCCACATGTAGAGTTGGCATGTTTCACTCATCCGCATGTGGAGTTGGTGTGTTTCACCCACCCACGTGTGGAGCTGGCGTGTTTCACCCACTCACGTGTGGAGTTGGCATGTTTCACCCACTCCACGTGTGGAGTTGGCGTGTTCTCTCCACATGTAGAGTTGGCATGTTTCACTCATCCGCATGTGGAGTTGGTGTGTTTCACCCACCCACGTGTGGAGCTGGCGTGTTTCACCCACTCACGTGTGGAGATGGCATGTTTCACCCACTCACGTGTGGAGTTGGCATGTTTCACCCACCCACGTGTGGAGTTGGCGTGTTCTCTCCACATGTAGAGTTGGCATGTTTCACTCATCCGCATGTGGAGTTGGTGTGTTTCACCCACCCACGTGTGGAGCTGGCGTGTTTCACCCACTCACGTGTGGAGTTGGCGTGTTTCACCCACTCACGTGTGGAGTTGGCGTGTTTCACCCACTCACGTGTGGAGTTGGCGTGTTTCACCCACTCACATGTGGAGTTGGCGTGTTCTCTCCGCTTGTAGAGTGGGCATGTTTCACCCACCCGTTTGTGGAGTTGGCGTGTTTCACCCACTCACGTGTGCAGTTGGCGTGTTCTCCTCACGTGTTTGTGGATTTTCTCCCGCAGACCAAATACATATATGTCAAGCTGGAGGATGGAAATCAGGAATAACCAATCCTGCTCCTGGAAGTCAGCTATTCCAGGTCTAAATTGCACCTTTGTGTGAGTGAGTCAGAGACTCGTTGTTTGTGTCCGTGTGTCCCTGTGATGGACTAGAGAATTGTCCAGGGTGCCCCCTGACTCACCTGGCAGCCGGTGACCCTAGTGAGGAATAAGTGGTTCTGAAGATGGATGAGTGTTTTGTTTGTTCTGATTTGGGCTTGGGTCCTGAGGTAGCTGAAGCTGCTGCAGCCTCTCAGGCCACAAAGGCACCTGCCGTTCCTCTTTGTCCACACTCAGACTGTATTTGGTGGCTCTGCTCCATCCCCTGTGTTATGCTGCTCCATCTCACTGGCCCTACCCTGCTGTCCAGTGAGATGACGTTTCTCAGCACCAGAATAGGTGAAAGATAACACAGCAGCAGCAGCAGCAGGACACTTTAGCAAATTCAGTGTTGCTCAGCATGTCTTTTTGTACTACTGAACTTTTCCTTCTAGACAATAAACCCAATTCTTCCTTTGCATTTACAGCCCTCCATTTAAACAGCAGCTGAGATCAGGAATGTGTCAGAACCACGCTTGTCCATCCCAGGGTATCCGCGGGTCCTTAAAAAGTCTTAAATTAGCGTTTCCAAATTTAAGGCCTTAAAAATCCTTAAACATGACAAATAATCCTTAAATACAGTTTCCAAAGGTCTTAATTTTTCAAAGACCCAATAAACAAGATCCTTTTATTTCTATAACATTTTCGTGACTTTCTAGTTAGTGTTCAGCGTTTTTTGTGTGTGATGTTGGCGTAAGCGGAACCGTACACATTCAGTTGGTTGTGAAAGGGGGCTATTTTTAGATGAGCACATTAGCTGGTGAAGCTAGTGGGAGCTTGCGCCATGGGGAAGTGCAAGTGTAATGGTGACTGGATGGCTAATCCCACATTTGCGACGTGGTTAGCACCGCTTCCAGGCAATAGCTGGAAATTATAGCTTAAATTTAATTTTAAAAATAGCTTAAATTTGGTCAAAGTGGCCTTAAAAAGGTCTTAAAAAGTCTTAAATTTGGCTCCCTTAAACCTGCAGATACCCTGCTCCTGCGGTCCAAACTGAAACAGTCTGTGTTGGAGTGATTATCTCTGTGTGACTGCTGCTTTTCTGTGTGTCTGCAGGAACGTAAGGATTCTCCACACTGTGAGCGAGCTGAGGAGAGACACGGTCTTCCGTCCACAGAGGACCATCTCAGCAGTGACTCAGAGGGTCAGTTTACCCACAGTTGAGAAACCTCCATTAGACAAAAACATGCCAGTGTCAGCTCACCAAAGTAAAAGCACCAAGTGATGTGCATTGCACTACAGTCTTTGTGATGATCCGTGTTCCCTTCCACGTGTTTACTTTGATTTTAGCTGGAGATTATGGAAGAGTCACCGACAGGCTTGGATTACAGGTCTTACAGCAGAGTCAAGTGTCCTTTATTCTGGACCTGTAGTCCAATATCCCATGTAACTAAAAGGTAGAGTACATTTAAATAAGTACACTAGGAGGTAGGGGTTTTAACAACTAGTCGACTTCACCGCTCTATAGTGACTTGTTATGCCTGTCATCGACTAGTCGCTGTCACGTGATAATGACCGGCAAGATGCCGCCCTCGGAAAAGACAGCAGCCTGCTGTCAGCAGGTGACAAGCTCCTGCGCGTCGGGAGGCAACGCGCTGTGCCAGAGCGTCGGTACTGACACCCGCCGTAAAACGGACATTTAACCAAATTGTGACCTTTACCCTCTTGCAATGTAACCTTCCCCTCACCCCCATCCTAACCTTAACCAGCTTGCACATGCAAAGCTCTGATTGTTGACGCGCTCCAGACATCTGCGTCCTGAGCACGGCCACAGTAACATTATCAAATCAGGTGTCGCCACCTCAAAAACTAATTTAACACGCGATCGTTCATGTCGGCTCATTTCCTTTTATGTTTTCTGTCTTTTATTCTTTTATTTGTACCTGATGCGTTTCGCTGCTGTGGATCGGGGCGCATCACCTGTTTTGTCCTCGGTGATGCACCGATCACTGATACGGCCGCCAAGCAGCGAGCGCTCCGCTGTTTTAGCGGTCGGTAGATCTTTTAGAACTGCAGTTCAAAGGTAACTCATGAGGTGAATATATATGAAGCCAGGTAGCAGTTTCTCTTTAGGATTGAGAGGAGATGCAGGAAGATAATAAACAGACAGGACAGAAAAATAGTCAAATAAAAACAAGTTAGTTTTTGTACCTGGTGGTTGCAACAAACAGACACCATTGAAGGTAATCAGAAGTGAGGAACAGAAAATGATATAATTATTTTAATGTTTAGAGCAGCAGGAACTCCGAGAGGCTGCAGGCGCGTCAGTGAGTTTGTGGCCGCTGCGCAGGGGGGGGGGGGGGGGGGGGGCTGAAACGGAGCAGTATAGATGCAGAAACTACCGTTGCTAAAAGAAATGTGTTTAACTTTGAAAATGTGGGCGCAATTTTAATTGTCAAAAACTCCAGCGAACCTATGTTGCTTGTTTTTAGGAGACCAAATACTTATTTTCACCATCATTTGTAAATAAATTCTTTGAAAATGAGACGATGTGAATTTCTGGATTTTTTTCCCCTCAGTTTGTCTCTCATAGGTGAGGTGCACCTGTGATGGGAATTACAGGTGCACCTCACCTTTGTAGGTGGGAGGACTTGAAACATTGGAGGCTGGCTAAATACTTTTCTTGTGCCGCTGTAGTTAGAAAAGAAAAAGTATTGCTGCACCACATCTTTGAAGTTTTGTTTCTGTAAAACTGAAAATCAGGTTAACCAATCCTGGTCCTCCAGGGCCACCATCCTACATGTTTGAGTTGTTTCCCTGCTCCAACTCACCTGATTTCAACCAGTAGCTGAACGACAGGCTTTAGCGGAGCTGCTGTTAAACAGGTGATTCAACAACTGAATCAAGTCTGGAGGAGTGGAGGCTCAACTAAACATCAGGGCTTCGTGTTTAAAGATGCTTACACACAAAACGGGGTCTGAACTGGCAGAAGTCCATGTCTACACAAACTCTGACCCTGCTGTGAGAACATTCTGGAGATGAGAGCCGTCTACGGTCTTGTAGATACGCGCGCACACACACGCATGCATGATTGCACACACACACACACACACACACACACACACACACACACACACACACACACACACACACACACACACAGAGCGGCTGCAGAAGCCCGGACCTCTGATCCGTATGGAAGCATCGCGCTGCTCTGTGTGTGGAGTCAAAGCTGGCATACACCGTCCCACATGGTTCCGTCTGGTCTTTTCATCTTTACTTGGGATGACTTTTTAAAACGAAAGGTTAATCACTCACTCACTCACTCACTCACTCACTCACTCACTCAGGAAGTGTTCATCACTCAGAAAGCATGCTTGCACAACAAAATGTGACAACATATGGTGACTAGACTTGTGATTACACAGGCTGATGCAATGCTGAGGGTGAGAATGTAAGGGTGAGGTTTTGAAAAGGGAAACGCTCGTATTTTATTGGTTTGGATGAATACTTGAGCTCTAACTGGTGATCAGAGCAGGTCAGGGTTTCTCAGCCGTGGTCTAGGTGATTGAGAGGATTACAAGTTTCCTTGAACGATAACATTTTAAACCCCACTATCTCACCTTGCAGGCGCTCTGCCTGTTTCTGCTGCTGGCAGCTACACCGACACCCGCCCCACCTCCTCCTCTGGACACATAAAAAGACCCATGAATGCCTTCATGGTGTGGGCCAAGGACGAGCGCAGGAGGATCCTGCAGGCGTTCCCCGACATGCACAACTCCTCCATCAGCAAGATTCTAGGTGAGGACACAGAGTGGTTGTGTGTCCAGGAACTCATCAATGTCAGTTTATACTGGTCTGAGTCCAGTTTCTGGGTCAGAGTTTTACTCTGAGATCCGTCTGGATGAGCGAACTCCTGCTCTCATCCTTAAGGCCTAGTCCACACGTAGCCGGTTCTTTTAAAAACGAATATCCGCCCCTCCAAAAACTTGCATCCACACCACCTCGTTTAAAACAAACTCTGTCCACACGTACCCGGATAAATACGTTGTTAAGGACATGCCAGACCTGTAGGCGGCAGTACTTCCCCCGTTCTTAACCTCGTCCTTCGTCTGTGGTCTTCCGCAAGGAGCAGTAATTCCGCTTGCAACAACAAGCAAGCAGAAAGCGCTTGGACAATTGATGGATCGGGTAGTGACAGAGCGCAGCTCTGAGGGCGTCCATGATGCCGGCTAGTGTAAACACAGGTCGCACACGTGATGTCAGCATTTTTTGTCACGGAAAGTGTCGTTGCGGACCTTAAAACTCCGGTTTTGTCCGTCCACACGCAGACACCCAAAATGGAGAAAACACAGGTCTTCACTTTGGCCGGAGTTTTTAAAAAGATCCGTTTTCGTGTGAAAAAACTCCGTTTTCGTGTGGACGACAGGCCAAAACGTAGAAAAATATCTACGTTTTGGCAGATCCCCGGCTACGTGTGGACAGGGCCTAAGGCTGAGTCCTCGCTCCCTCACATCAAGTCAGATTATAGAAACCAGGCTCTAGTTCTTCTGCTGACGATCCACGTGTCATGGCCGTAGGTGGGGGTTCGAGAGAGCGCTAAATCCAGAGCTTTGCCTTTCAGCTGAGCTTTATCTCCACCCTTATACACCAGATAAATTGGCTCCCATCATAGCCAATGGGAGCATTCCACTTTTTTCCGGTTGGGAATGATCACTTAGAACTTTATGGAGTTGACTCACTTAGTTTGACCGGCCCCAGTACACACTGAAGGTCACAACTGAAAGATGCCAGGAGAACCGCGCCGTCTGCAGAAACGTAGGGATGTAGAGGCTCAAGCCCAGAAGCACTGGCTTCTGGTTCGGTTCAGTCCATTTTAAAAGTCTTTTACTCGTTTTGAAGGCGCTGAGCTGCTTTGCTTGTACGAGCCTCCTCACGTACTTGGATCCACCAGTCGGCTCCTGCTGGTCGCTCCCATAGCAAAAGTGAAATGAAGAGGAGACGGAGCGTTTGCAGTTGTCCCTTTACGATAGCTTTTATTTACATTACACAGTAAACTATGTTTCCATGTCGTGTTTTAGTGCCTTCCTGGTTTTACTGAGTTTTAGGGTGACCACTCTTAACTACTGGCATAAAGGTTTCCATTAGTGCCGTGTTCAGCACCGTGGGTGTCCTCTGGACTGTCATAAGTAAAGCCGCTGATGGTGGAGGTCCACGAACACAATCAAAAACACGGAGTCGTCCTTCAGCCTCTTTATGCTCATCTCTACGTCTCTTTTCCAGGCTCGAAGTGGAAGGGCATGTCCAACCAGGAGAAGCAGCCGTACTATGAAGAGCAGGCTAGGCTGAGTAGGCAGCATCTGGAGCGCTACCCAGACTACAAATACAAACCCCGACCAAAACGCACCTGCATCGTGGAGGGACGGCGGCTGAGGGTGGGCGAGTACAAAGCCATGATGAAGAGTCGCAGACAGGAACAGAGAGCGACCTACACGCACAGGTACTAACCCAGCATGCATGCGGCCTGGCCCTTACTGCCCAGACCAATCAGATGGTAGAAGGTCAATGTCGCTTCCTGTCTTTTTAGTCAAAGTGAGCTGCAGCAGATCCGTTATTCCCAAAGCGACATCCAGTACCCGGGTAGTGGCTCCGTCTCAAGCATGCCCTTTCATCCTGCGCAACTGGAGCATTACCTGCCACAAGTCCCACCCCCCACGCGCAGAGCTGATGGAAAGGCCACACCCACCTCTCAACCCAGAGACAGAGAGAGGGAGCGAGAGAGAGCTCGACCTCAGTACAGCGAAGGAGAGGAGAGCGACGCGGGAGAGAGGAGTGAGGGGGAGCTGGTGCTCCTGACAGATTGAGGGTGGGTGGGTGGGGGGTCAGGCGGACTGGAGGAGCGAGTGAATTAAAGCGGGAAACGCCACCTCAGCTGTTGTAAAGTATCACGATCTTCTGCTGTGCACACATTAGTGCTAGTTGTCATCGTTCCTCCCCCAGAGATCACGCCCTCTCCTCCTTGTGTCCTAACGCTCCTTGCTGGCTCGGTGAGGAAATGAAACCTTGTGAAGGAACTTGAAGGTTGCTGTCAGGAACCACAGCAGCAGATGCTCATGTGTTGGTCAGTGCTGCCCCCTGCTGGAAGAATGATTCCTGGTTTCTGGGAGTTCTTCCTGCCTGCTTCCTCCAGCTGAGATCCTGATCAGAGCAGGGGAAACACACCAGAACGCCCTGGCTCAGAGTCAAAGGTTACTGCCACATTAATGACAACTCTTTGGTACATCTACAGAACAAGTTCTTTAGCCCCCATCAGGATTCTGGTTCCAGATCCGTTTCTGCTGGAGGGGCAGGTGTTCTGTGAGGCTGTAACCCAAGAGACGTTTCCCAGTCTTTAGCTGCATTCAGGGACACGTTTGGCTTTATTTTGCTGTTTGGTTTTAGTCCTGTTTTTCCTCATGGTACCCATGTAACACCGGCTACAGCGGTCCTGGTGCCAGCGGTCAGACCCTCCCCACCCATCACACCCACACGGGAGACTGACCTCAGCATCACGTATTTGTGCTGTAGTTTCTGAGTGTTTTTTATTGTTGTGATGAGCTGATGGTATTTTATCCAGACGTCTGCGGTGTTTTAAAATCAGAATATTTTTTTGAACTTAAGGTTATTTTTTCAGCTAATATATCGTTTTGTCGTCTGAACGTTCCTGCTCAGATAATCCAGTGGTGATAAAAACCAGATCCAGATCCGACTCTTGTGCTGGGTTTAGTGAACTCGTGTGATTTCTGACCTTGCACTGAGAAACCATTCTGACCTGTGTCCTTTCAGAGCTCATGGTGAATATTGTGATTAAACTCCACCTAACTGGTAAGGTTGGGATCAGTGACACAAGAACCGTCTGTGCACTCTGTTTTGCTGGTAGACCGACATTAACAACAGTAAGTTTATTTATTGTTCTCCTTGGGGTGTTTTTTCTGCGTCTGACCCAGCCCTGAGGAGCAGGCCCAGCGGTCCGGGTTCAGTGTCTTGCCCAGGGATACTTTGACACGTGACCCGCTGGGTTTGGGATCAAACCATCACCTCCTGATCAGTGTCCAGCTGCTCTCCCCATTCAGCCAAAAGTTTTCATATTTAACAAATCGTGTTACTGAATCAGGTAGCTTAATGGAGCGCGAGTCCACCGGTTAAAACGCCCTTTCTGTGGATTGTACGGGAGTTGGTTCCAGACTCTAGAACAGTGGTATTTAATTCCAGTCCTGGAGGTCCGGTGTCAGCACATTAAGTTTTACCTCTGCGTCGACACACCGGATTTTAATCTGCAGGTGATAAACAGGCTTCTGCAGAGCCTGATGAGCTTCTGCACAGGTGATTCAACCGCTGAGTTAAGTGTGTTGGAGCAGAGAAACCACTAAAATGTGCTGGATACCGGCCCTCCAGGACCAGGGTTGAGAATCTCTGCTTTAGACTGTTCTCTCTGAAACCAGATTGGTGTGTGTGTGTGTGTGTGTGTGTGTGTGTGTGTGTGTGTGTGTGTGTGTGTGTGTGTGTGCGTTAGTAGCTTATTAATGCTAATTTTTCTTAGGAAAATTTCAGTTTCTGCTATAAACTTTGGTAGCTTCAAGCTAATCCTGCTAACACTTTAGCACGCAGTAACTTAAATAAATGTGGGTAGTTGGAGGATTTAAATGCATTGAAATGAAAGGATGAGTCATTTTAGTTGGTTGTTTATGAAATTTGAACATTTCAGAGAAATGTTTCATCAAATCCTTAGCTAGCTACTATGCTAGTTCACAACTTATCAAACCAAGTTTGAATTGATGGGAGAAACATCCCACATTCAGCATTTAAAGGATATTATGTGTTTGGATCAAATGAATCAGGCTCCGAATAAATCTTTTTCATATTTTTAGCTAACTAGCAGTTCCTTTAGCATGAGTTTTGTAGGAAGCATGCTCATGTTCATCAGGAAAAGGAGACCGGTGGCTGTTTCCATCAAATGTTGTCATTTTTCCGTTCACATCTTTTTATTATTGTAAACAGCAGACCTTTTCTTACCTGAGCATAAACTGGTCAATCCACCATTAGCTAAAAGCAAAAGAAACTGGACAGAGTTCAGATCCAGATGCTGAGTCGGGTTCAGGCTGAACGTGATACGTAGACAAATCTTTATCTGCTGGAGCCTCAACCGTAACTACCCCTGCTGATGTAAATATAGAAAAACTTTATTTTGTTTATAAAAACCAGTGTAATTTAAAGGTGTACATTTCTCTATGTTTTCAGAGTTTTGTTTTTTTGGTAAACATTAAAGTGGTTGTATCAAATGTGACTTTTTGGAACTTTGTTCTGTTTCATGGTGTCCAAACAGAAGACCACTTGATTATTCCTTAACTGGCCAGTGGTACCAATGTGATCGTTAGCTAAACTGCTGGATGGACTCTTGAACTCAGGGACATCGATTCAAGATGGCTGCCACCCCTGCTGAAAAAAACCAGCATATGTTGTGTTCTGGTGCTGGGATGCTGGCCCAGCAACCCAGGACAAGAACCACCGACATATCGGTATATACTGGACAATTCAGGTCCATTGGCTTGTCCTTTTGTCCAGCTAATCCCATGATAGCATCCAAACATGAACACACAGACAAAACCAAAGTTCAGAAAATCGAAATGGCCAAACATCGATTAACGCTGGCCGGCTCACGGGTCCCTGAAAGAACGAAAAAATGAATGCAAGTCAATGGGGCTAAAACCACTATTTTCCAATCCGCTTTGCCTTAGAACCTGGATAGCGTAATTAGCATGACTATCAGCACATCGCATATATGACATCACCACATAATCTCCTCCCTCTAGCGTAGCTGCTACTTACCACATGACCAGGTTTATGGTGGTTCTTTCCTCCTGAAGGAAGGATTAGAAGTTCACTGAACTTACTGTCTGGTTCGATGACGTCACTTTCGCATTTTTCACACAAACCCTAAAATAACGTATTTCCTCGTGCAAAAATAAGTACATTCTTCGTATCAAAATGCTTCTTTAAAATTCACGGACATCATATGTGAAACCCATGCCACATAACAAGCGGAATTAGAAAATAGCGTTTTTACCCTCGTTGACTTGCATTGATTGTTTTCGTTCTTCCGTGGACTCATGGTCCAAAAGCAGATGGCCGTGCTCCCTATGAGGATTTGCTCACTTCTGCTACCAGCCCCTAGCGGATGAGGGTGGAACTGCAATGTAGCCACTTCCATGTTGGCTTCAATCCTACTGCAGAAACTAGCTGGTTTTTCAGCAGGGACAGCTAACTGATGTCAAACACATTTGACTCCGAGTCAGTTTCATTGATGGTTGACCTGTTGTAGCCGAGTCCTCCACACCACACGGTGTGAAATCTCACAGAGATGGAAGTCCAGGTCATTTAGACTATTTGGCCCAAAAGCAGCAGCTGAACACTCACCTGTTCAGGCGGCCTTCGGTGTGACCTTCTATTCATGCTGCCATTTCTGCCAACTCAGCCTTTCTCGGGATCCCACATTACCTTTTCTTCCTTTCTGTCTTCACATTTTTTATTTAAAATACTTAAAAAACATGTTTTCTGTGAAGCACCTGGTGATTTTTATCTTGAGAAAAAAACGTTTCTTCTTCCTCAAAGCAACTACTGATCGGCCTACTGAACTGAACTGAATTGGAGCGTTTACTCTGTGAAGAGCCTCCAGACAACGCTTGTTGTGATTTGGTGTTGTATAAATGATCTTCTGATGGCGTTCTAATTCAACTTCAATTCAGTTTAAAGTGTGAAACAGCATTGTTTTAAGGAACGGTGGGACGCTGATGCTTTAGTCTGTCGGTCTGCGTGTTTGACAAGATGTCCACGTTATCTTCACCCTTCCTCTGATCAGGACTGGGACCTGGAATCAGGTTGCAGACAAAACCAAACGATACAGACTTCCCGTTCTGAGATGAAAAAATAAACCATCTCAAGCTGCACAAAATCATTTCTCAGTATTTATTGGAAATACTACTGACAGCTGTTAAATAATTAGTTCTTCACATCTACAAGTCTAAGACCACTGTACAGTAAGCTTTTCACAGTATGTACACCCTCCATCACCACAGGAGCCAAAAGCTGGGTCCAGAACCCATCGGTTCAAGTCAAAGCATTTACAAAACCCTCGAGAGCTGACAAAGAACCGTATGTGAACAGGGTTAGAACATTCAAGCAAAAGCTGTTTACTGCAGCTTAAAATAAAAGAAATACAGACGATGGAGACGCTCAATAAAAAAATGATGTAAAAGGCTGGGCAGTGAGATGTTGTCATGGAGCAGCCGGAATGCTTCAGCTGCTCTGAGATGAAAAATGGTGGAGATCTTTAGTTTTGGTTTATCAGCTTTCTGCTCAACCAGCTGATCAGGAGCGTTTCAGCTCAGGCTCGGCTCAGAGGAAGTATCCTGGCCCCACCCACGTCACGTGACCCAGAGAGTAGACGCCATGTTGGCAGGCAAAAAAGGTAAACAAAACGAACAGGATCGGCTTGGATTCTACTCCGTCAGAGTTTACTTCACACTTTAAAACTGAAGAAATCTCCGACCCTTACCGTGCCCCTGGGATACTTTTTAAAACGCCAGAAGCTGTTGGAGCGGACCTCTTACCGGATTTGAGATACCCTGACATTTATAACTTCCTTGTTAATTTTCCCTCGTCCTACTCCGGAGCGTCGCTAAGAGCATATAAAAGCCTGGAGGGATACAAATGGACTCAATCAGGGTTTGTTGTCGGTATCCAGATCTGGATTCTTCCTGCAAAGGACAGCGCTGTTGTCACCGGGAGGTAAGTGGAGATTTCTGTTACCATTAGCAACAGCCTGTTGCAAGGTTACGTCTGTGTGATCTGACAATTGATCAACCATTGCTTAAAAATTAAACAAAGCTTAGCCGGTTAATTGCTGTGATCATAAAACACGTAAACGGCAGCACGCAGAACTCACGAGGCAACGTTTTACGTGATGTTTACTTGCTGCTGTGAGTAATAAGACAGAAAAAGCCACGCCAAAATAAGTTTAGGAAGCCCACTAAGAATCGTAATAAAAGCATTTAAAATAAATACCATACACAGTTGAGGAAACGTTGGTTTAAGTACCTGATATGAAGCGGTCGCTGCATAAGTGAAAACCTTTAGTCTCGGGATCCCACAGCTTCATTTTAGCCCGGTCACTAGCGCGTTTTATTACAATGATCCAACGTTTGCGGCGCTCCGGATCTTGGGGAATCCTGTAGATGGCTCATTCCTTATGTCGTCCCCGTCTGTTCTGCATCCTGGGGCACAACAGGAATCTACCATATTTCCTGTCTGATTGAGTTTTCTGACAATGACAAATAGTCCAGCTGCGGGCTTCTGCCTGCCAATATGGCGCCGTTTCGATTTGAACTGTTGCATGCCGGGAGAAGTGACGTCAACTCCCGGAGCTCTATAGGATGTCCAAGGTAGATTCCGCCTTTCTTACCTCTGATTGGCTAGAAGAGCTCTACTACGATTGGCTATTCCATTTAGCAGCTATGTACAGACTGTCCTCCTGCCACCATCAGAACAGCTGCCAGCAACGACTCTACCTCCTGAGGAAGGTGAATTCATTTGGAGTCAGGAAGGACATTTTACTGACTTTCTATCACTCTTTCATAGAGAGTGCTATCACATTTTCCATCCCCCGCTGGTTTTACTCTGTCAGCCTGCAGTATAGAAACCTTCTACAAAGCACCGTCAAGGTGTGCTCTCAGATTATTGGACTACCACTGAGGAACTTAACATCTCAATGTGACCAGCATACAGGAAGTTTAGCACAGAAAATCGTCAAAGACCCCTCACACCCTCTTCATACTGTTTTGGAGTGGCTGCCCTCCAAACGCCGACTTCGATGCCCGTGCTGTAAAACACAGAGGAGGAGACGTTCCTTTGTTCCCAGAGCTGTGCTTCTTCTCAATTCTTAGTACAGATGGGGAGTGTGTGCATTACTCGTATGTGTGTGTGTGCATGTAGTTACATGCATGCATGTGTGTGTGTATGTGTGCATGTAGTTACATGTATGCATGTGTGTGTGTGTGTGTGTGTGTGTGTGTGTGTATGCATGTAGTTACATGTATGCATGTGTGTGTGTGTGTGTGTGTGTGTGTGTGTGTGTGTGTGTGTGTGTGTGCATGTAGTTACATGTATGCATGTGTGTGTGTGTGTGTGCATGTAGTTACATGTATGCATGTGTGTGTGTGTGTGTGTGTGTGTGTGTGTGTGTGTGTGCATGTATGCATGTGTGTGTGTGTGTGTGTGTGTGTGTGTGTGTGTGTGAGCAAAAAGGTTTACTCATAGTTGGTCATTTACATGTAATGGTATGAGGTGAATACATATATAGGTTTCATGGGTTTTATGAATATGTAAATTGAGTTTTTAGAACTTAGAGATTTTAGTGCCTGCTGCTTGTAAGAGGGTATAATATGTTGCTTTCAAGCTTAATATATTACCTTTACTTATGACCAATATGATGTGATATTCTATATAAATATCATAGATAGATAGATAGATAGATAGATAGATAGATAGATAGATAGATAGAGATATTTATATAGTATATCACATCTATCTATCTATCTATCTATCTATATATCTATCTATATATATAGATATGTATATATCAAAATGCTGTCTCAAGTTGCCCTTCGGGGACTAATAAAGTTAAGTCTTGAGTTTTGGGGAGGTCTGTACAGAAAAGGTGAACTTAGTGCTATAATAACCATTCTGTTCTGTTTCTTTTAAAGAAAAAAGACTAAAAAACATCAAATGTGGACTTAAAATTAAGTCCAGCACTCTGATCAATGCAATAAGATTTATTATATCTGTTGGCTCTCAGCACTGAGGTACAGCAGAGTAGATAGGATAAACATAGGCGTGCCTTACCTCTGTGTGAAATATAACAACAGTCCTTTTCTGCCCAGCTGTGTGCAGCAGGTCTGTTTCTCCTCTAGAAGAATGAAAAATGGGTCTAAATCATAATCAGCTTTGAATGAAATTTTGATTAACCCTGTAAATTTCCAGGTTTAATGAACACAGCGGTGTTTTGTCCCATGGGCGGGACGCTGGAATGCTAAGGGGTTTTAAATGATGCACATGTAATCAGATGATGATGTTCTAACTTGCTAACAGCCTTAACCTATTAAAGTGGAGACATAAGATAAAGCCAACGCTGAGAGCCAACAGATATAAAGTCAGTCTAACAGTGTGATAAATGCAACAAGATTACTTACAAGTACACATCTGACGCTTTCAGGTTGTTCTGTGAAAGACGCAGAAACTCATTTGTTGTAAAACAGGACAGAATGGGTTTTATAGCAGTAAGTTCACTTTGTTTCTCCTGAAGACCTGGCTGCAGCCCTGCAGGAGGTTTGCTGTTTCATCAAATAGCCAACTGTAGGAGAGAAAGCCGGGATCTTCCTTGGACATCCTATGATTCCAAATGGCGCGTCCCTCAGCATATTAGGTCCACTCTGCTACATGACACCAGGGCAGAGCTCACCGTCTCCCCCTAGTGGCTACATGGTGGTCTGCATCTGATCTGTCTGACAGGGCAGAGAAGTTAAAACAGCTGGAAACTAGCTTCCCACCTTATCATGGGAAACAGGATGTGATGTCACAGGAAGAGGAAAAAATCACCAATTCAACAACTCCGGTCAACATCTTCACCATTTCTTTTAGACAATCAGATTTAAGATGTCCTCCACTAAGACTGGAACCAACTGAGAGGAGTGGGCCTCACAGTCGGATGGGGGGCTCCGTATCTGGGGTGGGGGGAGTTTCAGGTGTGTGAGAGGGGGCACGAAAAGGCAAGATGAAAAATCAGTAACGCACACACACACACACACACACACACACACACACACACACACACGAACATTGGCGTCCACAGGAATCTGCTTCTCTGTGCAGAAATAGAGCAGCTACAAGCATTTAGCAGCAGAGAGGAACAGAAGGGAGATCAGGGCTACATGTGGAGATTTGGACCAACTCTTCATCACACAACAAACACAAAACCTCCTTCAGACCTCCAGTACCAAAGTAGAGATGGTTAGGCAGTGCTTCCTTATGCCCAGGAATCATCAGGTCCGAGTCCCAGCCCATGTCCAGGTAAAGGTGGAGGAATGAAAGAGTAAGATAAAGAACAGCAGCCACCATGCTACAGGAAGTCCCGGTTTCACCTCCTGACCTCTTATCATTCTGAGATCTGCAAGGCCATCACTGTAGGTTTGGTCCTGAAGTACTGGTTGAAACGTAGAACAGCATACCTGTGGAAGGCAGAGGAGAAGGCTGGTTTACACCTGGAGCCTGGCTCTTCTCACCTGTCAGAGTGCTGATATTCTGGGAAAATGTGACAAATCAAACATTTGGATTATTCTAATGAACACAAAGGTGGACCAATGCCTGACTTTTTAAGAACACAAACGTTTGGAAGACGCAGAAAGTTAAAGCCTTGAAGTGCCCATCAGGGTTTTACCTGCGTTCAGGTTTGCGTGGCGGCCGCCTCCAGCTAATGTTGTGCCGTCCCAGCCTGATTTCACTCTGCCCCCAGCTATATGGATGTTATTATAACTGCAGTTGCAGCGTTGCTCCACTACAGGGCGCTGTATCAGCAGCGGTGCACTGAAAAGTGCTAGTTGGTACATATCTCGCTAGTTGGTACATATCTTGCTAGTTGGTACATATCTTGCTAGTTGGTACATATCTTGCTAGTTGGTACATATCTTGCTAGTTGGTACATATCTCGCTAGTTGGGGCAGCAGTAGCTCAGGTGGTAGAGCGGGTTGCCTCATGATCGGAGGGTCATGGGTTCGATTCCAGCTCCCGCCAGGGGTATCCTGCTGTTGTGTCCTTGGGCAAGACACTTCACCCAACTTGCCTGTGTTAGTGGTGGTCAGAGGGGCCGACGGCGCCAAATGGCAGCCTCGCCTCTGTCAGACCTCCCCAGGGCGGCTGTGGCTACAAGTAGCTTACCATCACTAGCAGTGTGTGAATGTGAGTGTGAGAGAGCGTCTTTGGGGGTCTAGAAAAGCGCTATATAAGTTCAGTGCATTATTATTATTATTTATTATTATTATTATCTATGTGTAGAAAAGCCCTCAAAGTCTTGAGTTCTGGGACTGAATTTCCTTTGTTACCTTTATTTTGAAGTTAACCGGAAGTTTGCTCCGGAAGTCTGGCTAGAGATAAAATGGCTTTAGGTTCATATCCCTCTAGGTTTACGTAGCTCTAGGTTTGTGTTCCGGATTGTATGTTGCTGCCTGGGGAATAGCATCGGGACATGGTCAAGTGTGTGCATGGATGAACAATAAGTGCAATGTTGGATTGATTATGGCTATCGGGTTAATTATTATGCATTTCCTGTTTTGTGTGAGAACGCTGTTGATATACCTTCCATCGTGACCAATTGGCGCTGGTCTGCTGGCATCTTGGTCGTACGAGGAAGCACGGGAATGTAGATAAGTACGGCTTGGACAACATTGTTATGGTGCGGGAACAGGAGTTGGCTCAGAGTACGTGACCTAAGCTAACCCGCCACCGGAAGTACCCATGTCAGTTAACAAAATAAGAGAACCCTTTTGTTTCCGGACCGGAAGTTGACAGCCGATGTCGAAGGTAATTTGACAAGGCGTAATATAGTGGCTTTATGTGAGCCGATGATGATTTAGTGACCTGTGACTGTTTAGTATGGTTATTAACTGATGATGTATTGGCAGAAGGTTAATATTCTGATGTGTATTAGTAGTTTAATAAGGTTACGTTATACATACGTCATATTTGTCATTCGGCAGAAAAAAACACACCCAAGAGCAATCCTGTCTATCAGCTCTATCTTGCTTCACTTGTCCTAACCCATGGGTGATAATAAAGAAGCCAGGAGCACAACTGCAATTACGACTCTTCTTCATATTCCGAGGGGCTTTAAGTGATGCTCTGGCTGGCATTCCCAGTGTAAAGCGAGATTCAACCTTGATCCAATGCCTTCACAGTCTGTTTACAGTGTGACGTTAATACATGAAGTGGTCCTTTGAGCAGAATAAAACTCGCTGTACGCTGAAGATGGATCGATCCTCGGAATACAAAGCTTATGGCGCTCGCCCCAGGTGACGCATCCGGCCCCCTGAACGTTTAGCAGATTATGAGATGAATCAGCTGGGATGCATGCAAGACCGATGGAGGGAAGATATGGAGACTGCCCGACAGGAGGGTGGGGTCAGGATGACCCCCCCTTAATCCCCCCCCCCCCCCGTGTCCTGTCTGGCTGTGAAGCAAACAGAATAGATGTCTGAATGCTGGTGACAAGCCTTACAGATTTACTCTCAGGTGGAGCATCAAAGCTTCTGCTTTTAATGTCACGCCTGATACTTAAAACTTTATTGTTATTGTTTTTGAATGCTTTTTAATTCCGACCAGACACGGAGACAGAGGTGAAAGAGAAGGGGGGGGGGGTCCACAAAAAAAAAACAATCAGTGATGAGCACGAGTCTGCTTCTAGACCTGCAGAAAAGGGACACACAACAATACAACAGGAGCAAACTATCACTGCGTCAACTTGATTAAGAAATATAAAATCAATGTTGTTTAACTGAACCATCACACGATAATAAATCACAGTGCATTTAGTGCCATCCACAGCCTTAAGACGTGTTGAACGTGCCCAAGTCCATACTTTTGAGAGCACCATGTGAGCACCTGTGTGTGTACATGCGCTTGTTTATTAGGGCTGGGGGTAAATGATTATTTTTAAAATGATTATTCTGACGATTATTTTATCGAATAGTCGACTATTCTAATGACTATTTAGACAATTAATCTAACAATTATTTTTCTATTGCACAATTGATAAAAACCAGAAAATCTCAAATAAATTCCTCAAAAAATTGATAAATTGTTACTGTAATAGAATAAACACTACAGGCCTTCCATTTTGTATAACACTGCTTTTATTGTGTTGGTTGGTTATGTTCTGGTGACGTGTAGAACTTGGGAGTGCAGGCTGCTGCCTGAGAGGTGGTTGGAGACGGAGTGTCTCCATGCTGCTTTGTTTTGGTCACTTATGAGCGTGAGGCGAGTGGTCTTACGACCCTTCCTGGGGAGTTTGGCTCGTGTGCAAAAAGGAAGGGTCAATAACGGGATTTAAAAGTTAAAATGATGATCAGGTTTACTTACAACTACAAAAATCATAAATCTTTCCATCCACAGGTTGGGAGTAATAAAAATAATTCTGCCTGTGGGGAATTAAAACAAAAGTACAAATAAGTAGGGATGTCCCACTGGGCAAAGATTACAGGGTTCTGGACCAAAATAAGGATCTTCAAAGGTCCAAACTCTAAACTGGGCGGTTAAACCAAACTCAAGGTGATATGTTAAACTAAACCGAAAACCCACAACACTCTAAATGTAATAAAAGGGAGATCTGCACCAAAAAAAGATGAACTCTAAACCAAAACGTAACAGCTTATCCAAACGCAAGAAGCTGTTAGCGAAAATGCTAACAGTAGCTTTACCAACGTTAAGTTCAAGTTACCAAGTTTAAATAAACCAAAAACACCCAGCAGCAAACAGACCAGCACGGAGGAGAGACTGCTACCACTAAAACAGCTCTCCTCATGTCTGAAAGAAGCTCTTTCATGAAAGGAGAAACGCTCCCTGTGATGTTCTACATCTGCGGTAGAGACGGAGCAGCGCATCTGACCCCGGAAGTTGTTGTCCGTTGCCGAGAGACAAAGGCGGGCAAAACAGGATAGGAATCTAGTAGCGGACGGACGTTGTTCCGGGTCTTCGGTATTTGGTGGAGATGTTAGTGAAGGTGGAGAAGAGGGCGAACTAGAGGAAAAACAGGCAGATTCCTCCTCTATTTACTAACTCCTGGGGATGCAACAAGTGGGCGCGGTGCGTCGACTACCAGATCTGACCTGACGAACTTTTAGAATCGAGCTGTCTACGTCATCGACGCTTCGCTACAGCTCTATTGTATATGTAAGGTTTCTCTATAGGAGCGTCCAATAGAGAGTGTGAGGGGCCACAGATCTGCCCCCAAAGGTGTGTAGGAGATGGAGGGTGGGTGTTGTGAATGATGAACACTTGACCTTTAAAGATCATGTTGTCTCTGTTGCTCGTTCATGCCGCTTTACGCTGTATAACATATGAAAGATCAGACCATACCTAACACAACATGCCTCCCAGCTCCTGATGCAATCTACTGTCATCTCCCGCCTCGATTACTGCAATGCCCTTCTAACTGGTCTTCCAGCCTGTAATGTGAGACCTCTTCAAATGGTCCAGAACGCAGCGGCGCGTCTGGTCTTCAATCAGCCAAAAAGAGCACACGTCACCCCTCTGTTCATTGAGCTCCACTGGCTACCGCTAGCAGCACGCATCAAATTCAAATTGCTAACACTAGCATACAAAGTCCGAGATGGTACGGCTCCCATCTGCCTGAATCCTCTTGCAAAGGCTTACGTCTCGGCCCGGCCGCTCCGGTCATCACAGGATGGTCGGCTAGCAGTGCCTACACCACGCTCAGGACAATCCAGACTATTCTCATGCATCGTTCCACAAATGTGGAATGACCTACCAAGCACTACCAGAACAGCGGCTTCCTTTTCAATTTTCAAGAAACTCCTGAAGACCCTGCTCTTCAGAGAGCATCTTCTAAACTAGCACCCTCCCTGCACCCGTCCCCCCCTCTACTGTCCACTCCTTGTTCCCTCCTCTCCATGATTGATGTCAAGTTGTTGTTATTGTTGTTGTTAGCCTCAAGGGCAACATGCCGATTATCACTTGTAAGTCGCTTTGGACAAAAGCGTCTGCTAAATACATAAACATAAAAATATCAAAGTCCCAGAGATCAAGGAGATGCCCCAGAGAACAGGGACCCCAGGGAGACTGCGACCAGAAAAGCCACTGCCCTCCTCGAGAGGCGCAGAGGATCACCCCGGGGGGGCCACAACCAGCAGCCGGCAGAGTCCCGGGAGATATCAGCGGCAAGCCCACAGGCCCGCCCGCAGCCTCCCACCCCCCGAGCCCGGAACCCAGCGACCCGGGACCCAGGGGCGACCACCCCAGCAGAGCCCAGGGACCCAGATCCCACAAGGCAGCCACCGGGATTGATCAGGCAGACGCCAAAAATCTTAAACCCCCTGACCCGGGAGCCACGAACACTCAGGCAGACCGAGGAACCGCACTCCACACCAGGTGTGGGAGAGGGAGGGGAGACGAAGTTGTATAGCATCAAAAGAAGTCCCAGGAGAAGGCAGGAGTCAAAGGCCCCACCTGGCAGTCATACACAGACACAGTCACACACTCCCTCACTCATGCTCACACATACACATACAATCAAAAACTTGCATAAATGCACGCCGGATACACACTCATGCTCCCCATGCACACTCTATTCACTCTGGTACCGGTACTGCTGCACATTGGGTACAACCATTACAGGTTCCCAGAGTTCGACTCTTTCTGCTGGGGTGCTGATGAGCAGGCTCCCACGCACAATGCTGAGCACAGCAACCCACCACCCCAGACCCCAACCAGACGGCCAGATCTCCCTCCTAGCCTCCAGCCCCGGGAAGCCAAGCAACAACTGAGGTGTGCTAAGACCCCTAGTCTCCCTCCGCCTGCTCCAATATAGTGTTGTGTGTTCATGAGGTGTATTCCATGGCTGTGGTGGGCGGGCAGTGCGGGCATCGTCTGGCCTATGCCAGCTGATGCCACCACACCACCCCACTTGCACCCACAACCCTCAGTGTCTAAGTGCAGTTTAAAATTGGAAGTGGGCACCGGCACTCGGGATGAGGCTGAAAAATCCCCCTGCCAAATGCCGTTGAATGTGTGAACTTCCAAGGTACTAAGTGTGTGTTTGCGTGGAATGTCACTGGCGGAAGTGTTTAAGGTGCAAATAAAATTGGGGGGCAGATTGCCACAGGAATGCGGAAATGGGGTCTATACCTGCACCCCCTGACTTGTCCACCCCCCAAGGTGCTATGTGCATGATTGTGTGATGATGTGAGGGAGCAGGAGGAGAAAAATGTGTGGGGATGGGGAGGAATGGCTGGTTGGACTAAGCCCTCCAGGGAGCCAGCTCCCCCACTGGCCCCAATAGGCACCTCTGTTGCCAAAATACCACCCAGGACATGGAGACCACAGCCCATCTTGCCAGGGCCCAAAGCAGCAGCATCGCAGAGCCTCACGGAGTCTGAGGGCACCACCCAGCCCCACCCCAGCAGAATATCTACTCCCATCCCTGCATTTGCATAACTTCCAGAATATATAAGACATATGTCATCCAGGTAAGGTTGGGTCCTCCCCCTCCTGGACCTCCCCCTCCCCTGTGATGGGACAGCAGAGGAGCCAAGGTCTACCTGAGGCCCCTGAACCCAGGCCAGGCACTGCCGCATGTTCCCGCCTTCTTCCCAGCAGCATACATGTCAGGATCTGACCCCAAGGCCCCACAAAGATCCCCACACGGGGCCGGCCACCCCGAGGCCCCCACCCAGACCCAGCTGCCAGGCAGCGACCCATGGCCACCACCAAGACCTCCAAGGAGCCCCACTCACAACCGTCAGTAGTCCACCCCCCGAGGCAACCCAAGCACCTCCAGAGGGGGGCAACGGCCCTCCAGTCCCAGACATCCCCAGTGAACCCACTTCCAGGGAACGTCTGGATACTCCAAACTCAGACCCTCTACCCCATCACCCACATTATTCCACAGGACAATATCAACGGTCCCCCACCATCGCTATGTGATGGAACCGATCAAAGGAGCCCAGAGAGATTGATTTGAAGTGGAAGCAGAGGCTATATCAAGTGTAATATGATCTAACAAAAGATTTCTATACTGGTTAATGCAGAGAGTTTCTCTGTTTTTCCAATTCAAGATGATAGTTTTCTTAGCGATGCATATGGCAGTCAGAACCACGTGAACCAAAGATGTTTCAATAGGGACATCGTCCAGGTTTCCCAGTAGACAAAGAGAGGGGATGGTTGGGATATGACATTTCAGACACTTTGACAGATCCTCACATACTCTACCCCAAAATTCCTGGACAGGTGGACAGGACCACAGTGCATGAATGTAATTGTCAGGAATGTTGTTTGTGCAGTGTGTACAGGTGTCAGATTACACAAACTCCATCTTGAACATCCGATGACCTGTATAGTGTACTCTGTGTAGAATTTTGTACTGAATTAATTGTAAATTGGAGTGTCTGATCATTTTAAAAGTTTTTAAACAAGTTTGGGACCAGAAGTCCTGGTCAAAGCTAACTGATAGATCCACCTCCCATTTTTCAATAGGGATTGCTATTCTATCATCTATTTTGGACAGTGTCCAAAATAGTGAACCAGCTCCGCAGTGGCCAGCAATTGAACAGCATACCTGCAGGTCGCTTTCTGGCACATGGCTAATGGCATTGGCATTTAGTAATCAGGACATTCCTTCCAATTTAGTCAGACATGACTTCATGTTGCGTAACTCCATTCAACAACAAATGGCTGAATGATTTAATGTCATGTCTATCCTTGGAAGAGATTCGGTATAAGTTATATGACAGACACGAAAAGTTCGAAAAAATATGGGGACCTCTTTTATATCACATAAAGAAGAAGCGGACTCAATCTGGAATGTAAAGGATTAAGAGCTGGACATGCTTGCACTGTTCAAGCAACAAAGAAGACTGTAACCCCTACCTATCTAGACACTATGGGAAGCTTATTTGGCACTGGCACTGTTCGTGTTTCTTTGTTTTTGTTTTTGTATACGTTGTTGTTTATTATTTTTAATTTCTCCATATTTTTGTTGTTTTTTGTTGCTCCTCTTTTGTATGTATTGTAACAAATGCAAAATTGGCTACATAACATAATAAAAAAAGGATTTGTATACAATGAAATAGTTGTATTTGTTTTAGAAAAAATGAGGTTTTGTTTAATAGTAGGGCTGCTCAATTAATCGAATTTTAATAACGATTACGATCTGAGTTTTGAACGATTATAAAAAACAAAACAAGCCGATTATTTGCTCCTCCCGCCTGCGCTGCCCCGAGTTGCAAATGAAGCGCTCCTCCCACAGTGTTGCCAATTTAGCGACTTTGACGCTATTTCTAGCAGCTTTTCAGACCCCCTTCTTGACTTTTTAACTTAAAAGTATCTAGTGAACACCTCAGAAACATCTCTGGTAACCCTTAGCTACTTTCTGGATAACTATCGTCGACATTTCCTGCAGGTTAGCTAAACACCGCCTGCTCTCCGGACCGTTCTTCAGGACATTAGGAAAGGGAATGATGTAGCGATGTCGGTCGCTAAAAAAACAGCTCTCGGAGCCGGCTCCTTGTTGGAGCAACCAGATTGAGTGACACACACACCGCACCTGCGGACTCCTGAGCCACTAAAAACGGCTAAATGTGCGCGTGCGGCGCGCTAAACACACGTGCAGCTTGCCCCGATTGCTGTGAGACCGGGTTGGGGGGTGGGGGTGCAGCTGTGGTTGGGACAATTATTACATTAACTGATGGACTTGTAAATAAATAGTTTATAAATAAGGTAGAAATAAGTTCCTCACGCTGATAAATAATAACTAATCTCTCTGAGGACACGGTGCTAGTGCACTCTCCTACAGCACCTTGACACGACTAAATACGTATTATGCAATTTTTTGTGAACATCAATTTATTTGCATGTATTTGTTATAAATGCCACTGTATAATTCTTGCTGTCAGTATTTGCAAGATATTGGTATTTGGGTCTGTACTGGTTAGACTTAAATGAGTTAAACCAAGGTCTATAGCCCTTGGGTCATAGACTATGAGCTATAAGTATATTGGTCTTTTTATACTGGGAATCAGGAGTTATTTTAGTGATCATCTTGTTTCTTATTTTCGTCCTGATTGTGCCCTGAGCAGTTTTATGACTGAATAAAAACAAATAAAATCAACATAAATTGAAAAATCGTCCTAAATAATCGTGATCTCAATTTCAGTCACCATAATCGTGATTATTATTTTTGCCATAATCGAGCAGCCCTATTTAATAGTACTCAGAAGATATTTAGACTGGAGCAGAGCAGCCATAACAAACCTGGAGTCAAGTTAAAATATTTCTAAATATGTTGGATTTTCACAATAAAAGTTATTTTAAGAAAAAAGAAAGAAAGAAAGAAAGGGCTCAGAAGAGACTACTTACCCGAGGAAGTCAAAGTCAATGGATGAGTATTTGGCCTGGATGAGTGCCCAAAAGCCCCAGAAGAAATGAGAAGCCTTCAGAAAAATGGTTCACATGTCAGTTGTGGGAAGTAACTGTGTGTGTGTGTGTGTGTGTGTGTGTGTGTGTGTGTGTGTGTGTGTGTGTGTGTGTGTGTGTGTGTGTGTGTGTACATATCATGCATATGTGTGCATTTGCACGTGTGTGAAAACCTTTCCCCTCACCAGAGCAAACTTGTTGACTTGTACGTAAAGGGTCTGGAGTTCCCGTGGAGTGACCTTGTCACTTTTGTTGGTAAATAGTTTGAATGCCTGCAGGTACTCCTTCAGCCAGTCCATCTGCATCTCCTGGCTGGGATACAGTCCGTAGTCCAGCTCAGCCATCCCTGAACAAACACAACAACACAGTTAAATGACTAGCCCTGCTGCACTGAGGGAAAATGAAAAATGATACAGTAACTGCAAACCTGCAAACTCATTGAAGTGGTTTCCGATGTCAAAGGCCTGGTAGTTGTAGCTGGAGTATTCATAGTCTATAAACCGAACGTGACCTGAGAGGAAACCAGAGCTTCAGGTCATCACAGCTTCACCACTATAAACCCTAACCAGGCCGTCTGATCCCAGTAGGTCCCAATCACAGCGTTCAGATCAGACCACACACACACACACACACGCACAATAATACACGCGCAAACACACACTTACACCCCCTCTCTAGAAGCTCCTCCTACAGGCTAAACTAACCCAAGAACTCTGCTGTCAGCCTTAGGCCCTGTCCACACGTAGCCGGGGATCTGCCAAAACGTAGATATTTTTCTACGTTTTGGCCTGTCGTCCACACGAAAACGGAGTTTTTCACACGAAAACGGATCTTTTTAAAAACTCCGGCCAAAGTGAAGATCTGCGTTTTCTCCATTTTGGGTGTCTGCGTGTGGACGGACAAAACCGGAGTTTTAAGGTCCGCAACGTCACTTTCCGCGGCAAAAAACTGCTGACATCACGTGTGCGACCTGTGTTTACACTAGCCGACAGCATGGACGCCCTCAGAGCTGCGCTCTGTCACTACCCGATCCATCAATCGTCCAAGCGCTTTCTGCTTGTTTGTTTTTGCAAGCGGAATTACTGCTCCTTGCGGAAGACCACAGACGAAGGACGAGGTTAAGAACGGGGGAAGTACTGCCGCCTACAGGTCTGGCATGTCCTTAACAACGTATTTATCCGGGTACGTGTGGACAGTTTTTTTTAAATGAGGTGGTGTGGATGCAAGTTTTTGGAGGGGCAGATATTCGTTTTAAAAAAAAAAACCCGGCTACGTGTGGACTAGGCCTGACTGTGGCAGCTACAAATGGTCCAGGCTACCTACCATGACGCTTTGCAGGTGTGGTAAAAGTGTTTTATTTTTATTCATCGTGTAATCTTCATTACAACCTTTTGAGTTTTAACATGATCTATGTTTTTGTTTTATAGCAACATGTGTTGCTGCTGTGAGCTTGGAGCTAGAGAACATCATGACATCACAGAGGACCTACTGGTTCTGGTCCAGTGACACTTGGTGGTGACGTGTGAGCTGATTCACCTGGTAAATAACTTTTACATAAATATTGTTTCTTTGGTAACAAAAGTGAATTCACTATTTTTGTAGGACACTCAGCGAAATATGGACACTACACCATGAGGCAGCACCACTTCTTTAAGTGAAGAGGTAGTCTGGCTGCACTCAGACTAGCCGTTAGCACATCAGTCCAGTCCAATTTACCACAATATCTAAATCGTCAAACAAAGCACAATATGTGATGAAGAAACATGTTTCATTCATCACAGGTTCATTCCATTAGGTATTAATTCGTGTTTTATTTAGTTTTACATACAGGTGCTGGCCAGTAAATTAGAATATCATCAAAAGGTTGAAAATATTTCAGTAATTCCATTCAAAACGTGAAACTTGTACATTATATTCATGCAATGCACACAGACCAATGTATTTCCAATGTTCATTACATTTAAATTTGATATTCATAAGTGACAACTAATGAAAACTCCAAATTTGGTATCTCAAAAAATTAGAATATTCTGAAAAGGCTGAATATAGAAGACACCTGCTGCCACTCTAATCAGCTGATTTACTCAAAACACCTGCAAAGGCCTTTAAAAGGTCCCTCAGTCTTGTTTTGAAGGCACCACAATCATGGGGAAGACTTCTGACTTAACAGCTGTCCAAAAGACAATCATTGACACCTTGCACAAGGAGGGCAAGACACAAAAGGTGATTGCTAAAGAAGCTGGCTGTTCGCAGAGCTCTGTGTCCAAGCACATTAACAGACAGGCGAAGGGACGGAAAAAATGTGGTAGAAAAAAGTGTACAAGCTCTAGGGATAACCGCACCCTGCAGAGAATTGTGACGACAAACCCATTCAAAAATGTGGGGGAGATCCACAAAGAGTGGACTGCAGCTGGAGTCAGCGCTTCAAGAACCACCACGAGGAGACTCATGAAAGACATGGGATTCAGGTGTCGCATTCCGTGTGTCAAGCCACTCTTGAACAAGAAACAGCGCAAGAAGCGTCTCGCCTGGGCCAAGGACAAAAAGGACTGGACTGATGCTGAGTGGTCCAAAGTTATGTTTTCTGATGAAAGCAAGTTCTGCATTTCCTTTGGAAATCAAGGACCCAGAGTCTGGAGGAAGAGCGGAGAAGCACAGAATCCACGTTGCATGAGGTCCAGTGTAAAGTTTCCACCGTCAGTGATGGTGTGGGGTGCCATGTCATCTGCCGGTGTTGGCCCACTCTTTTTCCTGAGGTCCAGGGTCAATGCAGCCGTCTACCAGGAAGTTTTAGAGCACTTCATGCTTCCTGCTGCTGACCAACTTTATGGGGATGCAGACTTCACCTTTCAACAGGACTTGGCACCTGCACACAGTGCCAAAACCACCAGCACCTGGTTCAAGGACCATGGTATCCCTGTCCTTGATTGGCCAGCAAACTCGCCTGACCTTAACCCCATAGAAAATCTATGGGGTATTGTGAAGCGGAGGATGCAATACGCTAGACCCAACAATGCAGAGGAGCTGAAGACGACTATCAGAGCAACCTGGGCTCTCATAACACCTGAGCAGTGCCACAGACTGATCGAGTCCATGCCACGCCGCATTACTGCAGTTATTGAGGCAAAAGGAGCCCCGACTAAGTATTGAGTGCTATACATGCACATTCTTTTCATGTTCATTCTTTTCAGTTGGCCAACATTAGAGAAACAAACATTTTTTCATTGGCCTTTAGAATATTCTAATTTTCTGAGATACCAGATTTGATGTTTTCATTGGTTGTCACCTATAAATATCAAAATTAAACGTAATAAACATCGGAAATACATTGGTCTGTGTGCATTGCATGAATATAATGTACAAGTTTCACGTTTTGAATGGAATTACTGAAATATTTTCAACCTTTTGATGATATTCTAATTTACTGGCCAGCACCTGTATACCATAAATCCTCTATTACAGGCCCGGGCCTGTATTTGACTGAAGCTCATCAAGCTCCAGGCTTTTATTGGAAGGAGGACCAGAATTAGAGGCAGGCCTCTATTTCTATTTGAGCAAAATGAACTAATGGTTCGCTGGAGTTTTTGACAATTAAAATTGTGCCCACATTTTCAAAGTTAAACACATTTCTTTTAACAACGGTAGTTTCTGCTTCAGCCCTCTCCCCCCTCCCCCTGCTTCAGCCCCCTCCCCCCTCCCCCTGCTTCAGCCATCTCCCCCCTCCCCCTGCGCAGCGGCCGCAAACTCACTGATGCGCCTGCAGCCTCTCGGAGTTCCTGCTGCTCTAAACATTAAAATAATTATTTCATTTTCTGTTCCTCACTTCTGATTACCTTCAATGGTGTCTGTTTGTTGCAACCAGCAGGTACAAAAACTAACTTGTTTTTATTTGACTATTTTTCTGTCCTGCCTGTTTATTATCTTCCTGCATCTCCTCTCAATCCTAAAGAAAAACTGCTACCTGGGTTCATATATATTCACCTTATGAGTTACCTTTGAACTGCAGTTCTAAAAGATCTACTGACCGCAAAAACAGCGGAGTGCTCGCCGGCTGCATCAGTGATCGGTGCGTCACCGAGGACAAAACAGGTGATGCGTCCCGATCCACAGCAGCGAAACGCATCAGGCACAAATAAAAGAATAAAAGACAGAAAACATAAAAGGAAATGAGCCGACATGAACGATCGCGTGTCAGTACCGATGCTCTGGCACAGCGCGTTGCCCCCCCCCCCTTGTCACCTGCTGACAGCAGGCTGCTGTCTTTTCCGTGGACTGCATCTTGCCGGTCATTATCACGTGACAGCGACTAGTCGATGACAGGCATAAAACGTCACTACAGAGCGGTGAAGTCGACTAGTGACTAGTTCATACAACCCCTGCTACTGCTCCCCAGAGTGTTCTGCAGCATAATCAGCACGTTCTCTTTGAACTTGATATCAAATCTTCGCCTCCTCTTCGTCTCCGCACGGTTAAAGTTACCCTCGCGGTCTATCACTGGCAAATCAAAAGTGAGACGATGACACAACCGCACCCCCGTACTTGCTTGTTACCACATTCCACCCGGCCACAATAAAAAAACTGCCATTATTGACCTCCGCCGACTCCGACACCGGCCAAAATATGATACCCGGCCATTAACTGAATACAGGCTAATATTAGAGGATTTACGGTAATCAGAAAATTTAAATATGATGAAAGTCATTTTACATTCCAACAAATAAAAACACACTTTGAACCCACCCCCCCATGGCTTTTGGCTTACATCTGGGTGCCCCCTTGTGGTGAATACATGCAACTAACACAAGTATGATCACACCAGTCTGTTTTATTACTGTTTATTTAATAGGGACAGATCGTGTCAGTGTCTTCATTTTATTAAAATCAATGCAAGTAGCAGTAATAAGATCATGTGTAACATGAGCTAATGCAGCAATCAGTACTAAATATGGAGTCATTTTGGTGAGTTTAAGCATAAAATAGCATCTTCAGGAAACTAGGAAATAGCATCTAGGATGAACTAGTACTGTCTGTATGTTCTCATTGTGGATTGGCCGATCAAAGTTTAAAATAAGTGGCTGAGAAAACCTTTGGGAGTGGCCTGCAAAACGCCGTCTTTTACTCCATCGGGAAAGTCACAGAACGCCGTAAAAGACGGCGTTTTGTGCTGTCAAAAACGCCGTCTTTGACGCCGTTCTGAGGATGCGCTAAAAGTGCCTGCTGTTCAGCGTTCAATGATTAGAAAAAACATTGTTTTTTTTTACGGCGCTCTGAAAGACTACCTGTAGACGGCGTGCAATACGGCGTTCTGAAGGGATTTCCACCACTTTTTTCGGCGTTTTAAGTTTAAAGACGGCGATTTAGATGCCGTTAAATAACCAAACGTGCTCAAAAGTGGGCGAATTATGATCCCTAAGGCTTGCGATACATGCACATGCACACACACACACACACACACGTGCACACGCACACACACGTGCACACACTTACACATGCACGCGCGCACACACATTAACACGCATGCGCACGCACACACACAAACGCATGTACGCACGCGCAAACACACACACACACGCACAAACGAACGCACGCGCAAACACACACTTACACACGTACACACACACACGCACACACACGCACACATGCGTGCACACACACAATTACACACACACGTGCGTGGACACACGCACGCACAAACACACACTTACACATGCACACACAAACACGCGCACGCACACATGCACGCGCGCGCAAACACACATACACATGCACACACGCGCAAACACACACACATGCACGCACACATGCACACACACTTACGCAAGCACACACACACACGCACACACGCATATACACACACACACACACTTGCACACAAAATTACACACACGCACACACACGCACGCACACACGCATATACACACACACACACTTGCACACAAAATTACACACACACTTACGCAAGCACACACACACACACACGCACACACGCATACACACACACACACACTTGCACACAAAATTACACACACGCACGCACACGCACGCACGCACACACACTCACAGTAAATCCTCTAATATTGGCCTGTATTCCATTACTGGCCGGTCTCCTACATTAGCCTGTCTCTAATAGTGGCCGGCCCTACGGCACAGACCTAACCGCAATTTTGATAACTTTTTACTTTAGTGACTGGATGTAAAAATGCCCAAATTCCGTGCGTTCGGGACAAAAACACACGTTTTGTTCCGTGTCCTGAAAGTAGTGCTCCACATGGGACTTCCTGAAACGTACTGAACGAAGAGGGAATAGTGGATCAAGATGGCAAGATGATCAGAAACGGAACAGAAACTGCTACCATCTGCAGCGTTCCCTTCATCACAGGTAAGAGTTAACTAAAGGTGTTTGATGGCGTTTTATTGCACAGCTTAGAAACACAGCTACAGAAACAGCTGGTAAACTGTTTGATACCGTTTTCACGTGTCCTCAGACCCTGAACCTTCATTAATTTCATGCAGAACAATTTCTTCACCAAGTTCGTCTTTGTGAGCCAAGGTGGCTCAGGACACCACCCACCTTCTTTGCTGTTGTGAATGATGTTCTTGCAGAGCAGGTCATTGTGACAGAGCACCACGGGGGATCCCAGTGTGGAGAGATGCTCCTTCATCCAAAGCATCTCCTGCTCCAGCACTGCCTTACTGGGAACCTCTTGCTGAATTCTGGGTAGGAAAGGGAATAGAGAGAAGGTCAGCGACTCACTCAGGCGACTGTGAAGACAATGGTGGACACCCACATGCCGCAAAGTTCCAGTAAAATCAAGTTCCAATAGTAGAAACAAACCTAATCAGCACAATATTAGCAAGGCGAGAGCGGAGGAGTGCCGATCCATCCCTTTTTTATGTCTTTTATGACTTATCCAGAGTTGGGTCGCGGGGGCAGCAGCCTAAGCAGGGAGGCCCAGACGTTCCTCTCCCCGGCCACTTGGGCCAGCTCCTCCAGGCGTTCCCTGGCCAGGTGAGACATAGCCCCTCCAGCGTGTCCTGGGTCTACCTTTAGGTCTCCTCCTGGTTGGATATGCCCAGAAAACCTCACCAGGGAGGCGTTGTGATGCATTTGTACATCAAGGAGTGGGGTGCCAGCCAGGTTTATGTTTATTCACTTAGCAGACGCTTTTATCCAAAGCAACTTACAATTCATAACCTGTAGGGCATGTTGTGATCTGTGGGGGAAACCGGAGTACCCGGAGGAAACCCACGCATGCATGGGGAGAACACGCAACTCCACGCAGAAATGCCGCAGCCGAGTTTCGTACCTGCGACCTTCGTGCTGCGAGACAACAGTGCTAACCACTGCACCACCATGCAGCCAGGTCTCTCTCCTGACATATAAGATCAATTACAGTGATTAGTTAACCTTGATATATACAAAATCCCAACAAAGGATGCAACATAGAATAGTCTACACCCTTCTTCTTCAAAGGAGAACTTAAACCAGAAATTACCTGATCATCAACTCCCATCACACACCCAACAACATACCACTTAGCAGCTTATGGGTCCTCCTCGCTAACCATTCATTCCTGTCAGAGACGGGGAAGCCACTAATGTACCCGCTCTGTGCTCGGCGGCACTCTCACAGTCAAACTCAATATTGTTCTTACTCACGGAACCCGACTTCATCCCAACGGGTCTCGTGGTTCTCACAGAAGAACGTAAGCACTGGGGTCCGACTGGCCCAACTCAGACGTGGAACCCAGGCGAAACAGCTGCGCGTCCCACCGAAACAATGATCCCGTCCTCTTAATCTCCGCTGTGGAACGGCGTTCTTGTCTCTCCTTCGTTTTATCGTATTTTCTCAAATATTCTCGTTATTTTTTCAACACTACTTGTTTCTATTAACCCTCCCTTTTTCGCTGGTCTGTACCTCTCCCCCTCACTGTCAGCGGGGCAATCAGACACACCTGATTGGGTCACGCCCCCCTTTTTAAAGATGCGTTCGCCACAGAGGAAATGGCGTATGGACGCAGGTATGACAAGAAAATAAAATCAAATAACCTGAACTAGCAAACTGCCACAGCAACCAGGGGGCACCCTGACCAGATGCCTGAGCAACCTCAACTGGCGCCTCTCGATGTGGAGGAGCAGCGGGTCTACTCCGAGCCCCTCCTGAATGACCAAGCTTCTCACCCTATCTCTAAGGGAGAGCCCAGCCACTCTTAGGAGAAAACTCATTTCGGCCGCTTGTATCCGTGATCTCGTTCTTTCTGTCACTACCCAAAGCTCATGACCATAGGTGAGGGTAGGAACGTAGATCGACCGGTAAATCGAGAGCTTCGCCTTCTGACTCAGCTCTCTCTTCACCACGACAGACCGGTACAACGCCCGCATCACTGCAGATGCAGCACCAATCCGCCTATCGATCTCACGCTCCAGCTTTCCCTCACTCGTGAACAAGACCCCGAGAAACTTAAACTCCTCCACTTGGGCCAGGACCTCATCCCTGACCCGGAAAAGGCATTCTACCCTTTTCTGACTCAGCAGTGTTATCCAAATAACATGGGATCACTGCGAAGAGTAAACATGAATATGACTCAGCAGCCTTTCTGTCTTTTGGACGTGGCTAAGAGGAAACCTGAGTACAAAGACAGGTTAGAAATCTTGGTGTCATAACTGATTCAGACCTAAGCTTCACTGGTCTGTAACTAGATCAGCATTTTATCATCTGCATCAAATAGTGTAACTCAGAGGTCTCAAGTCCAGACAGGACCTAGAGAAACTCATTCATGTGTTCATCTACAGCAGGCTGGACTATTGCAATGGTCTGCTAACTGGTCTTCCCAAAAAAGCTGTGAAGCAACTGCAGCTTATTCAGAATGCTGCTGCTAGAGTCTTAAAAAAGAACCAAGAGAACCGAACACATCACTCCTGTTCTGAGATCTCTACACTGGTTACCAGTAAACCACAGATTTCAAAGTGTCTACTAAATTATAAATCACTCAATGGCATGGAGCCAATATACATGTTGGATCTCCTTGCCTCTGCTCTTCCTCCTCTATCTGCTTCCTCTTCAGCACATCCTGAGCTCCTTCAAAGGAATCTCCTACCATCTTTATGCAGATGACATCCAACTGTACATCTCCTTCAAGCCCCATGAGATGTCTAAGCTGCAGCTGTTACACACCTGCTTAGACTCTATCAGAACCTGGATGGTGGGAGCTTTCTTCAGCTGAATGAAGATAACACTGAGATCCTCATCTGTGCCCCAGACAAGCTGGTTCCCAAAGTCAGAGACTCTCTTGGTCAGCTTGCTTCTCACACCAAACCTTCTGTCAGGAATCTTGGCGTGACCTTTGACCCAGCTCCCACCCTGGATTCTCATGTCAGTTCTCTTGTTCGCTCTTCCTTCTTCCATCTCAGGAACATTGCTAAGCTGGTGATCTTCTCAGTCCCTACACCCCCAGCAGGTCCCTGAGGTCCAGTGACCAAAGCCTACTGGTTGTGCAGCACCAGGCTAAAGGTCAAAGGTGACAGATCATCTGCTGCTGTGGCCCCCAGACTCTGGACCTCTCTCCCCCTGAGCCTGAGATCAGTGGATTGAGTGGTCTCCTCTTTCCTGTCCATTTTCTCTTTTCCCTTTCTTACATTTTTTATCTAATAATTTGTCCTAATTTTTATGATATTTTTAAGGATTTTAAAATGATATTTTAGGTATTTTTAATGTTTGCTCTTGTGAAGAACCTTATGATTTTTATCTCGGGAGACTGTCAGACGCGCTGCTGAGTGGAGCGGAGAAGAGGTGAGGATCCAGACCGGGGAGGAAGCAGGCAGACAGGTAGGATTCTTCACACAGATTTATTAGAACGCACGCTGGACAATGAAACAATGAACCGACACAGGACACAGAACAGAAGGGGTTTAAATACAGGAGGACCGGGAGCTAAGGTGATTGGGAAAACGAGAGGCAGGTGGGAGTAATTAACGAGACACAAGGCTGAACCAAACAGGGAGACAGGACAGGGTGTGACAGTACCCCCCCCCCCCCCCCCCCCCCCCGCCAAAGGGCGGATCCCAGACGCCCACAGGCACAAGGAGCAAGGCGGGAGGAGGGGGACCCGGAGGGAGGGCCCAGAGGAACTGATGGAGAGGCGGCAGGGACCAGCAGAGTCCGGGGGCCTGCGCCTGGGACAGAGGAGGAGACGACGGGCTCTTGGGGGCCGGCGCCTGCGGCAGAGGAGGAGGCGAGGGGCTCTTGGAGGCCGATGCCTGCGGCAGAGGAGGAGGCGACGGGGCACTTGGAGGTCTGCCCCTGCAGCAGAGGAGGAGGCGACGGGCTCTTGGAGGCCTGCGTCTGCCGCAGAGGAGGAGGCGACGAGCTCTTGGAGGCCTGCGTCTGCGGCAGAGGAGGAGGCGACGAGCTCTTGGAGGCCTGCGTCTGCGGCGGGGGAGGAGGCAACGGGCCCTAAGAGGCCTGCGTCTGCGGCAGAGGAGGAGGCGACGGGCCCTAGGAGGCCTGCGTCTGCGGCAGAGGAGCTCTGCAGGCTGGGCCGGGGACATAGTCTCTGCAGGCTGGGCCGGGGACAGAGCCCCTTGGACGGGCTGGGCCGGAGCGACCTCCAGAACCACCATTGGAACGGGAGACGGCGGACCAGATGGAGCGTTGACCTCTGGAGTGGAGAGAGCATCGACCTCTGGAGTGGAACGAGCGTCGACCTCTGGAGTGGAACGAGCGTCGACCTCTGGAGTGGAACGAGCGTCGACCTCTAGGGTGGAACGAGCGTCGACCTCTAGGGTGGAACGAGTGTCGACCTCTGGAGTGGGTAAGGCGACTTCAGACGAGACGACTTCAGACGAGACCACTTCAGAGGCGCCTTCAGTCGAGACGACTTCAGACGAGACGACGACTTCAGAGGAGACTTCGACAGAGGAGACGTCGACTTCAGAGGAGACGTCAACTTCAGAGGAGACTTTGACAGAGGAGGCGTCGACTTCAGAGGAGACTTCAACAGAGGAGACGTCGACTTCAGAGGAGACGTCGACGACAGAGGAGACTTCGACTTCGGAAGAGACGTCGACTTCAGAGGAGACTTCGACTTCGGAAGATACGTCAACTTCAGAGGAGACTTCGACAGAGGAGACTTCGACTTCGGAAGAGACGTCGACTTCAGAGGAGACTTCGACAGAGGAGACGTCGACTTCAGAGGAGACTTCGACAGAGGAGACGTCGACTTCAGAGGAGACTTCGACTTCGGAAGAGACGTCGACTTCAGAGGAGACTTCGACTTCGGAAGAGACGTCAACTTCAGAGGAGACTTCGACAGAGGAGACGTCGACTTCAGAGGAGACTTTGACAGAGGAGACGTCGACTTCAGAAGGGACGTCGACTTCGGAAGAGATGTCGGCTTCAGAGGAGACGTCGACTTCGGAAGAGACGTCGACTTCAGAAGGGACGTCAACTTCAGAACACGAGGAGGTGTCGACTTCAGAACACGAGGAGGTGTCGACTTCAGAACTGGAAGGGGTGTCGACCACAGGACAGGACCGGGCGTCGACCACCATCGACTTCTGGTCCGGGGGCGTCGACTTCTGGTCCGGGGGTGTCGGCTTCTGGTCCGGGGGCGTCGACTTCTGGGCCGTCGACCTCTGGACCGCCGGCCTCGGGACCGGAACCGTCTGCTTTTGGTCCGGGGGCGTCGGCTTCTCGCCTGGGGGAGTCCTGGTCC